TTGGCAGAAGTGTACAGATTTTGTTTTTGTTTTTGATATTTTAAAACCGTTTTCGAGTGTCCATTTGTTTATTTGATGTAAGCATTGTTGAAGTTGTCTTTCTGCTGTGTTGAGGTTTCTCGATCTGTAATACATTATAAAATCATCAACATAAAGGCTACAGTGTATTCCTGATTTGATGTTTTTTATTATGTCATTTATTTTTATTTTGAAACGTGTAGGGGAGAGTACACTTCCCTGTGATACTCCCGATTCTTGCTTTTTTGATAATCAGAACGTGTAGCATCTATTTGTACTTGGAAGAGTCTATCTGTTAAAAATCCTTTTACAAAGTTTGGTAGTCAACCTCTTAATCCTAGTTTATGCAGATCTTTCATTATACCATGTTTCCAGGTTTGATCAAATGCTTTTTCTATATCAAAGAATATGGCTATTAGATGTTGTTTGTTTAAATTGGCCTCTCTTATGGCTGTTTCTAGTCTTATTATGTGATCTATTGTACTTCTTCCTTTGATATTTTGATATGTGTTTTCCTTTTTCTAGAAACCAACTCAATCTGGCATTGACCATTCGCTCTATTATCTTACATAGACAGCTTGTTAATGCTATTGGTCGCTAACTTTGTGGATTGTTTCCTTCTTTGAGTATGGCAATAATTACCGATTCTCTCCATATTTTGGGAAATTTACCAGTTGTCCAAATATTGTTAAAAATATTCAAAAGGTATTTCAGCGATTCTTGTGGTAGTTGTTTAATAAATTCATAGTGGATTTGGTCTGGGCCTGCTGCTGCATTATGGGATTTTTTTTATGGCTTCTATTAGTTCTGCTTCGGTGAATAGATTGTTGTAGGCTTCTGTATTTTTAGACGAAAAATTTAGTTGGTTATTTATATCTTTTTGTTTACACTTTTGTAGGTTTTGATTTTTGCTCATTTTAGAGTTTTCTGCAAATGTCTCTGCTAGTAGGTTTGCTATCTCTTTTTTGCTAGTTGCTTTAGTGTTGTCCTTTTTAAGATGTATTATTGGGTATATTTGATTTTTTCCAGCTATTTTTCTCATCATTTCCCATATTGTCTTGGTTTTGGAATGTGTATTTAGGCTGTTTACATATTTTTTCCAACATTCCCTTTTTGGCTTCTTTTTAACAGTTTTCCGTGCTACTGCTTTGAGTTTTTTCATTTCAATCAAATTTTGGGTTGTGGGTTCCTTTTTGAATTTTTCGCAATGCTGCTTCCCAGTTTCTGACTGCTTTTTTGGCAGTTTTTGTCAAACCAGGGTTTAGTTTTTTTATAATTATTTTGCTTTTTTGGTATATTTTCTGAGGCAATGGTTATTAATGTTTTGGTAAAGTATTCTATCGAGTTGTCTGTGTCCTTTGACTGTATCAGTAATTGTTTACATTTGTTTTTGAAACCCTCCCAGTTGGCTCTTTTCAGTTTCCATCTGACGGGGCCTATCTTTTTTCTTCCTTGGCAGGCTTTTGATTTTCTAGAATGATCGGGTAATGATCACTGCCACATGTGTCGCTATGTGTTTTCCATGTATAATCCATACAAATTTCTGGATCGCATATACTTAAGTCTATTGACGATTCTGTTCCATTGGAGGGATTAAGGTAGGTTGAGGATTTATGATTTAATAGACATAAGTTATGGGTGTTAATTATTTCTTCTAATATTTTACCTTTAGTATCTAGCTTTTTGCTATTCCATATAGGATTATGACTGTTAAAGTCTCCTAGTAAGATTCTAGGTTTAGGAAGTTGCTCCATCAAGTTGTTTATTTCTGTTGTATTTATTGGTTCCTGTGGGGGTATATAAATGGAAAGAATTGTGATGGTTTTATCTAGTGTCACTTGTGTTGCTATTGCTTGTAATTTAGTTTTAATGTGTACTTTACTTTGCGGTATGTCATTTCTAATCAATATTGACACTCCTCCATTAGCTCTATGTCCTGTATTGTGGTTATAGTGATATTGTTTATAATTTTTAATTTTTAAGTTGGCATTTTCTTGTAAAAAAGTTTCCTGTAAGCAGATGACGGCTGGATACAGTAGTGACATAAGTATGAGTAGGTCATTGTAATTAGATTTTATTCCACAACAGTTCCATTGCAGGATCTTATGTGCCATGGTTATATTTTCATTTTTTTTGGGGGGGGAGGTAAAGTTACCTATTAGGTTTATATCATTTGTCCTCTCCAGTTTTTTTTTCCATCTCTTGAGTTTTTAGAAGCTTTGTCTTCAACTGCTTGTGGTGTCCTTCGGTCAGATTTTTGGTTTTGTTTTGAATTTTGTTTATTTTCTTTCTCTTCTATTTCCATATATTCCATAGGCTCAAATTTATTTTCATTTGATACATTGATTCTTGATTTTGAGTTAGATCTTGATCGAGTGCTTTCTTGCTCTGTTGTCACTTTTTTTCTTTTTTTTTTTATTTTTCATTTTCTTAGTTTGGGTTTGGGAAGAAGAGGGTTCGCTGGAGTTTTGTTCTGTGTTTTCTTTCCAAAGTTTTTGCCTTCTTCTGGGTTTATTCAATTTGATCTGGGTTGTTGAGTTTTATTTTTATCCGATTTAAGTTTGATTAAAAAGGTTTTTAATTCTTCAAGGAAAGCTTTTAATTCCTTGCATAAATTTGTTATTTCAATTGAACCTTTTATTTTATCTTCATTGTTTATTTTATTTGCTTTTTGTGCCATGGAAGCATAGGTGTTTTCTTTTATGTTATTTTTAACTTCCTTTCGTGCTTCTATGAAAGATATATTTTTTTTGTATTTTATTCTAATTATTTCTTTTTTCTGTTTATATATACTGCATTGTTTTAAGAGGGCAGAGTGGTTTCCCAAACAGTTTGAGCATAGGCTCTCATTTGGGCAGTTCTCTTCTTTATGTTCTGGTTCTTTCTCACTACATTTTCCACATATTTTTTTTATTTCTACAGGAATCTCTGTGATGCCCAAATTTGTGGCATCTATAGCATTGAAGAGGGTTTGGTACGTATTGTTCTACTTTTATACTTTCATATCCAATTTTAATTGTTGTCGGAATTTGGTGGGGAGTTGAAAGTTATAATGTAGGTATTAGTTCGTATCTCTGCTTCATTTTTCTTTATTGTTATTCTTTTGACATTTGTAACTCTTTGAGTTTGGAGTTCTATTTTTATCTCCTCTAGAGTGCACAGGGAGAGATCCTTGCTTTTTATTACTCCCTTTGAGAAATTTAGGGTTTGGTGTGGGTAGGATTTAATTTCTATTTCTTGTAGTTTTTTTTGTCTAATTAATGTGTCCGCATATATCTTTTTTTCCACTTCTACTAGTAGTGTTCCATTTTTTAATTTTCTTACATTTTTTGGTATAATGATATTTGATATTGCTTTTTGTATTTTAAATGGAGAAATTTCTGTTAATGTTTTTTGCTTATTGCTTCGAGTACAATAAATCGTGGAAAGTTTTCACTATTATTTGCTGTTTCCGAGTCGTTATCCACATGTGGTCTCTTGGAAGATTTCTTTTTTTCCATTGATTGTTTTTATTTTTGTTCATCATTCTCGCTCCCTACCCACCGCGGAGTCCAGTATTGGGACATGACAAGGGGGAAACCCATTCGCCTTGCCATGTCGGGGCTACGTGAATGATATACTCTCTTTGGGAGGAGTCTTTGAGCACGCATGTTCCTTTGTTTCCGTTTTCCAAGTATTACGGCTGTGAAGGTTTAGCAAGTGTGTCAGATCCTTTTTTTCTCCCAAATTGATTGACCCTCAGCCACCGCCTTCCATCACATATTTAGGGTTAAGTGTTAGTTTTGGTTGGGAAGAGGAGTGTCAGTTATAGGTTTGGGATGGATTATATATGATGGGGCTTGACATGACCAGCCGATTGATCGGATCGGGCCCCTCCGACCGCCCGTCTAGCCCAGGTAAGGGCCAAAGTGGTGTGTTACAGGATTGTGACCGCTTTACACCTGGGTTACAACCTGCTCAACCACCAGGATCCCGTCCCCAGACATTAAACGTCTGGAGTGTGACGCTTCTTGTAATGGGGGGTCGCCACCCAACGGCCAACATACCTTTTGATTGAGGGATTTTAGATAATAATAAAAATGTTTGAGAGTCCTTTTGACCAATTTCTTAGGAATCTTTTCTCCACATCAAAAGTTGACCAGGATTTTCAAAATCCTGTCTTCAGCCCAATTGGTCCCCTTTTTTTTAGATAATAATAAAAATAGAGTCAAAACTGAAGCACACAATGGAGGAAAGGTGGGTCCTCCATCCAGTATACATATGAATAGTGAATAAGTCAGCACTTAGTGAGGAAAGGACCAGCAGAGAGTAAGTCATCAGTCAACGTGACAGTCAGGCATTGAGTGTAAGGGTCCTTTTTCCTTGGCAGGAAGTTAGTAAGAAAGCAAGAGTTCACTTTCTCAAAGCCAAAGGAAGATATTACTGATTAAGTGAGAAATCATATTGTTTGCTATTTCTCAACCAGTGTTTTGTAAAGCATTTGCCGTTATTCTTTGTTGAATCAATTATGGCCAGTGTGATAAACCTGTGAACATAGTGAGCCAGGTGTATATGCATAGACAGCCGAGCTTGAATGTCCCCACAGCTTGTGCAGTGACATATGGAAAGTCATTGTCACATAACAGAATGACAAAGACAGTGGCAAGAAAGCCCATTTCAAGACCAAGTTGAAGCAAGACGATCTCTTAATAGACAAAGGTATCCGAGTGCCTCACATGAAAGGCTTGAACAAATAAGACTGCAATCTAAGAAACGTAGAAGTAAAAGAACTGATTAATTAAACATTTCATTTTGCTCAGGAAGTAATTTTGTTTAAATGCAGATAAATATTTTATTTGTATAGATTATTAAAATGACTAAGGAAAATAATCATTCATAAATTTACTAACTTGATTTACCTCCCTTCCTACTACAGATGGGACAGGAACTATATAAATAAATACACATTAATAATTATTAGATGGTTTGATTTTTTGTTTTACCTTTTGTTTCATTTCCACATAAGCTTCCTCGACCTCAGAGAAGTTGTAAGTAGCCACTGTAATAAAGTCAGTCATAACAGGTACAAATTTGTCACGGCTGTCTCTATCTCGGGTCCTCAAATAATCCAATTCCTGTAAAATGAAAACAACAATTTAAAACAAGAAGAAAAAGTTGTGTTATTTAAAATGGTCTTCCATTGGCTTTTTTAAAAAATTTTTTTTTTTTTTATTTTTTTTTTTTACATGGTTTGTAACACAAAGTTATTCTCTGGCTACTAACCAATATTAAAGAGCACAGTCCACCTTGTTATTTAACTCATAGATGGGGAGAGAAGCAATAGATGCATGCTTTACTTAATGGCATTAGTGCAAAAAGGGAATGTAACAAAGCTGGAATTTGACCTCTGCTTTCCCTTTCAATGCTAATAACCACTAGGCTATCAGTGATATTATTTAAATATTACATAAAATATACTGAAAAATACATTTGTTTCCAATGTTATTTAGAAATGTTGACTGTGAGTGTTTCTATCAGAACTTTAACAATAACATCTAATTGCTTAAAGAACTCTTTAGGCGCTCAAAGAAATATTTTGAGCAAGCCTTTTTAAGTTAAGAACATTTTCTCTTTTCCCTTTCTTTCTCTACTAATCGTCCTTTTATCCCTTTAACTTTTTTTTTCTGTATATGTTGTAAATAAACACTTTCTTCTTTTAGTTGTTACTCACCAAGGAGGAGTTTTTTCTTTATTCATACAGGAAAGAGTTTGTCCACTCTAATCTTGCAGTTTTGCTTGCGTTTTTTCGCAAAAAATTTAAACTTCAACCCTATTTTTAACCTCAACCCTTTGATGCGGAAAAGCCAGGACAAATTTCCAAGCATTATTTTCTCTCCTTTGTTACTCATTTATATAAGAAAATATATATATGCTCTCGAAATTTATTCCATTTCTTTTCACCTCTGGAAGTAATGGCAACTTATCATTTATTACTTTTAGCTTAACTTGGAGCAGTGATGCAACACATTAAATGATCAGCATAGATTGAAAATAAAGGAACCTGTGATTAGACTTCAGTTTATCCTATATCTTCTGGAATTTGTCTAGCAAGAGCAGGACCACACTCATCAGGCCAGAGAGGCTTGTTAGGATGCAAAATTCAGATTTACACATGCATTTTTTTTTTTTTAACTTTTTTTTTATTTGCACCTAGTAGCAGAAAATTTAATAATTCTAAATTTTTCAAATTTCTTAGATGAAGCATTAATTTCATTAACATTTTTAGTAGTTTTTTTTTTAGTGTTAAAATAAAAAAAACAAAACAAAATCAAAGAAATTAGCCAAAATTTACTGACAACACTTTCAGTTTTTGTCTGAATTTCTGGATTGAAGAGTTATTACTTACACTATTTACATGTGGAATATTGTCCTCAGCTTTGTTGTTATCAAAATGTTTTGGCTGTTGTGCCCTCTGACCTTCATCAAGTGTATGTTGATCTGGGTATTTCACAAATTAAACAAAGGGTTCGGTTTGAAATTTCCTCTAGGTTACCCAGATTAATATACACCTGATGATGGCCAGAGTATACAATTCCCAAAACATTGTGATAACAACAACAAAAACGAGGACAATAGTCTACATATAGTCTAAATAAATAATTCCAGTCCTTTTGCCAGTGTGTTTTGAATGAAAGAGGGCCAGATGTAAGAGATTGTACACTAAAATCAGTTTGCAGGAGAGGGCAAAATGATTTCTTGTTTTGTAATAACTTGAAACAAATATAAATTCAAATCTAAGAAACAATTATTTCAGAGCCAATAAGAAAAGTTCCTTTTGAAGTAAAAGCTTGTAATTCAAACTTCAGAAGTTCCAACAAATGAAATCTGAATAAGTGGTTATAGTTTGAAAAGGAACACCTTCCCTAGATTTTATTAATCAATTCTTCAGTAATTCATCGACAAACTTCCACTGCACTTTTCCACCCCTAGACCAAACTTGAATATTCACAGAATATGTATTTTATGTTTAGTCATGATTTTCAAAGAAAAATTGTCTTCTACCAAAAATTCTTAATAAGTATTTGCAAATACAAAAATTCTTAAGTATTTGCAAATGCAATAAAGAGCTCAGTAAACTTCAAAGACACTTCTCAGATTTCTATAATATTGTACAGAAGATATGCTATACTTTTCAAGTTTGCTAAAGATTATAAAGCAAAACATAGAATAGAAATTTTATTAATTTCTATGTTTCACTTTATAATCAAGGTTAAAAGCATATCCAGAATATAAATTTATTCAAATACTGACCTTACTTTTGGATTGCTGATCAAGTTCAGTGATTTAATCAAGTAATTCAAGAGCAGAAATAGCTAGTGGCTAGCCCTCTGTTAGTACCATGGAGTGTTCAAACACTCCCACAAAAAGTTTTCCCTTAATATTTAGCAAGTGGCAAATAAAATTTTTATGATTAATCAAACAGATTTTGAATACCTCTGTCAAGAACTGACAAAGTTTTTTGGGTTTTTTGTCATATTTATATGAATTTCAAGCAGGTTTATTACTTTACTTAAAATGGAGCTGGCTTTTGAATATTTGAATTTCTGAAACTTACAAATTCATTTTTTAATACTGACCTTTTAATTTTTCAAAAAAAAAAAACATCTTTTTTTTCCCCCCATAAAAACCAAAAAGAACACTCAAAACAATATATAACAAGAAAATTAAGAAATAATAATATATCTATAATATTGTAAATGTTCTTTGTGAAAACCCCACGGTTTGAATAGAGGATTAAAGAGATGAGTCAAGACAAAAATTTGAGTAATAATGAATGCTGCTAACAATATATTTGAAATTTGACTGCCCACATTTCAATTATCGCCAACACTGTATCCATCGTCTTAGCTCTGTGAAACAGCAAGGAGTTATAAAACATTAAACACCATATAAATCAATTGGCTCCAATTTGGAAAATAATTTCAAATACTACTAACCTTTTCAATTTCTGAAAGGCCTTTCTTCACAAAAAGCAGATCTTTGTCTAGTTCAGTGAAACTAAAAAGAGAAAAAGTTTTGTATACCAGTGATAGAATTAATAAGTTACATAATCCATATAAAAGAAGGAAAAAATTTAATATTTTTTGTTATGATGCTATAATTTAAATATGTAACTTTATGATATTAAGCAATTTTGAACAGTTAGGATTAATCTTAAAATTAAAACTTATTCATAGATTTATTTAAAGGTTAGCATTAAAATAATTTTATTCAATAAGCTTGAAGGAACGACATTTAACATTTAATAAAAATCAATCTTGGCTCTTCAGAGAAATTGATTTATACAAATAATAGCAATTGCTTTACTTGCACAAATCTTTCAATGACTGAATATTCACAGAGTATTTTAGCATAAATCTTAAATTAATGTAGCTGTATATTTTCTATATAGTCAAAAGCTTTCTTGGTACCATAGTTATTAACAGTAGCATTTATGTAATTGGACTGATTTAGAAACAGGTTCACTAAAATCTTAACATTTATAAATTTTAAGAAATATGGAACAGTACTAATCCTAATTCAATATCACACTTTTCCTAGTGCTGGAAGAAATGACAAAAGAAAATCTTTTGTGAGAGTAACACCAGTAATATGTGTGTGTATATAAATGTTAAAAAGAAAAAAATATATATATTTAGGCAGCAAATATTCATCCAGATAAGTTTGATTAAAAAAACTGATAAGGTCTGTTTCATCAATTTTAAACAATACTCAACACCTTATTCAAAAATTGGAAAAAAGCAATAAAAATTAAACAGACCTTGTCAATTCTTTTTAATTAAACTTGTTTGAAGATACACACACACATATATATATATATATATATATATATATATATATATATATATATATGTGTGAAAATGAAAATATAGTTTTAAGGTATACTAAAGTTGTGAGTAAAAGTGCTCAATATCATAGAGTGTATGTAAATATAAAGAAGCATTAAACAGACTGTTTCCACTTAGTGTTGACTATATATATATATATATATATATATATATATACACACGTACACACTGTCTCAAGTTCCATACACTAACTTTTGGGGCCCACAGACTCAACATTATAAGCAATGCTGTTATGGTTTCCATAGCAAGAAAGTTTTTCATGAAATGGAATTGCTAGCCCCTTGCCCAACTAGAGTTGTCTTTCTCCCAGGTTGTTTGTCAACAAAGGTTGAATAACCCGGTCTGCCTTACTATTTAACCCATAGCTGGGAGGAAGAAAAGATGGATTCATACCTTTCACAAGGGAATTTGTATGAAAGTGAATATAATGAACTTGATTCACTGATTTCTTGTTCCAAGTTGCTAACCATTTCACCACTTGCACATGTACATACACAAACGTGTGTGTGTGTGTGTATATACATATATATTAAAAAGTTTAACAACATTTATCCATTTTCATGTATTAGGTATTAAATCACTTAGCATCCCCCATAGTTTACCTTGACTTTCACAGCCTTAAGAATATTTTTAATATTTTTGAGTGTTTTAAATTTTGCAGAGGAGGAAATGCATTGGTAAAGAACAGATTTCTGCTTGTCTCTATTCATAGTCTTTTTGCAGATATATTTTTTATTTATATTTGAATTTTTATGCACACACAAATTTTTATATATATATATATATATATATAATTAAAAGACCATTTCCAAACTTTTTTCAGTGAAAATATAATTATCAGTTGTCCAATGTCTGAGTAATTTTGGCTTTTATAAGTCATTATCAAAGAGTTCTTGTTGATAATATTGCAACTATGTATCTTGCATTTTTTGTGCTATGTCAGTTTCATTATTTGTTTTCAAATATTTTACCTAGTAAATCTGTATCAATGTGAAGTATAAAATATCTACTTGCAAATATTCTTCTTGAAAAGTGTTGTCTGCTTAATCTTGAACAGTGGTCATCCGTATTTGTGCATACACACAACTTTCCTTATGATAAATTCAATAATTTGATTGCAAAGCAGAGATTTAGGATTTATTCATTTGTGGTCAGGGAACAAAAGACAAATGAACTGGATGGTTACTGAAAATTAATAAAAAAAAATGTACTTACTTAACCTTTGCTGCTGCTTTCACATGACTCAAATCATTTTCAAGATTTGTGACCTCAGGAAACTAAGAAAAAGACAAAAACATTGGACATATTTTAAAAATTAATAATATACTTTTCATTGTCAATGTTTCACAGAATAGCTATGATTTCATAATTTATGGAGAGAGTCGAAAGTACAAACTAAAATCTGTCTGAAATGGGGTAAAAAGAAATGCTGAAAATGGCCTGCTTCTGTTCCTGTATGGTTACTTTTATTATAATTTCAGAAAGAGGCTTCTTACCAAATAACATGCACCCACACACTGGTTTCTCTCATTTACTGTGACATGATGGAACTAGGTTGTGAATGGGATGTAGAAGAGAATAGTAAATGTTCTTATCTCAGTCTTAAGTATATTGTGTTTTTTTTTTTATGACCATCAGTAAAATCTACAAAATAGCATCTTCAAAGTAAGCTACACAATTGATGAAAAGAGGATAAAATAATAGATAAATGAAAACTTTCAGGGTCAAGTGCTACTTGGTTGGATGTTACATATTTCCCCTTACATTCTAAATATGCATGCATTTCACTTTTTCTTACATACCATGAGAAGACGTTGCCAGATCAACATCTGTGGCTATATCACTATATCTACAAACCTAGAGCATTAGCTGTCTCATCTGGCTGGCATGTGGCACATCCTGTCCATATAATGCTAACAACATACAAAATTTGGAGGTCTAACTTTAGACAATAAAATAAAATTATTACTTGGCTCTAATGTCACCCTGCTGCTCCTATCCTCCCTATTTTTCTAACTGCAGTCCACCATTCCCTTTTTCCTCACCATCCCCTGGATCTTTCCACTGCCTCTAGTCTGTCAGTACCACCTACTTTAAGAATCTTAAGACTAAATTATAATATTGCAAATCATCCCAGAGGCTTATAAAGAGAAAAACAAGACAGAATTTATTTTATGGAAAAGACAAATTTACTAATATAATTAGTATGTGAATTTTTTTAAAATGAGGAACTATCATTATTATACACTGAATTACTGTGACTAGTGTTCTCATCTTGATTGTTATTGTCACTGCATTTTCAATGTTCTATGCTTCATCCTGTTCTAGTGGGACTGGAGGAGGGAAGTGAAGCCCCCCTCCCCTCACTTTTTACTGAAACTGAAACAAAAAAAAAAAAAAATTTTCTTTTTGGTCTCAGTCTGTAATATTATTATCAAACTCATGTGCGTCATTTGTCTGAAATTAAATTTCCAACTAACATTAATCTTCAAAATAAAACTTTTTTTTTTTAAATTAGCTTCTAAAACCTCTCTATATGTCATATAGTCTATAGGACCCTGAGCACCTCGAGGTGTTGTAATGGTTAGCAAGCTTGTCTTGCTAGAACAATTACAACTGAATAGTGAGTTTGATCCTCCCCACCACTTTCGGCCATGTGCCACATCTAAGCTACGATTGGAAAAAAAAAAAAAAAAAAAAAAAAAAAAATCACTATAGTCTATAGGACTCATTCCAGAAGGTAGGTACAAATGAACAGTAAAAAAATGTTTACAGTAGGATAGTAAATCTAAAAATATTCTTTATAAGGAAGGATCAGATAAAAAATATATAAAACTTCATGTCTGACTTGGCCACTCCACCAGTCACGCTTTATTTTTACAGTGTCTGTGCTCTGGTCATCTTCAGGAGTCTATCATAGTTGATATCATTCTGGGAATCTTCAGCTGGACCCTTTATTCTAAGTTTTACTGATCTTGCAAAGTTTCTACTATTATCATTTATTTTATTAATGTTATAATTATTACTTTCCTAAAGCAGAAATATTTGCAGCTATGTCTAAAAATAATAGATAGTATTGAGAATAGAGCATTTATAATATATTATTTTTGTACTTACTTGCTTTGACAGTGTTTCTAAAAGATAATGCAGCAATGTGATATTTTTGTTGATACTAGATTTTGTGTCAATAATTTTATTAAGACTTGATACTGTGAATCCACTCGCGTTTCCACGCTGACCACGGTTCATGTAGTTGCCATAAGCAAGAACAATTTCAAGTAATTTTTTCAACTTTTTGCTGTGATATATTTCTTTGGAACCTTCTAGAACACCTGTAAAAAACAAAAAAAAACAAAAAAACAATCAAAACAATGCATTTTTCTTTCAAGACAGATTCCTTTTCTTTATTATCTGTAAATCAATATACATTCTTGAGAAATAATGTTGAATGATTTCTAGTTGCTTAGAATGGTTGCCACCCAAGGTTAGGGAGCCTAAATTATCCTGCTATTTAACCCATAGCTGAGGGAGCATAGATGAATCATCAAAAGTTTAAATTTTTAATTTCTTTTTTTCCAACGTTTAACTCTCTGGAAGTCAAGTGGAGAGTGATATTTGATTTTGCTTTGCAAATGATTCAGACAGACACTTCCTTCTCAGTTGTATAAAATTGTTTAAATATAAACTTATTTTACAAGGTAATATATTTTGCTAAAAAATTACTTCAAATAAAACTCCCCAAAGATACTAGAAATGATAAATAAGAATTCATATTCTGTGATCAGTAAAAACATTGTACCAAGTTTTAAAATTAAAAACTATAATTCTAAAGAGAAATACTAAAATATTCTCTGAAGATGTTGATATTACCTGTAAAAACACAGTATCACTTTAATATAATGTATGCCATTGTTGTATATTATATGAAGCAAACAATCCAGTTCAATTGTGGTGTGGGGGGGGATTTATTTTGTTGAGATTAGTTCACTTAACTGTAATTTTTCTGACATGATCAAAATGAGCATGTCATAAGGAAAAAAAATTGTGTGTTTAAATGAAAAATAGCTATGAAATCATGATATAAGAAAAAAAAATTTGGTAAACTATTTTTTTATTTTTTCAAATTCATAAAATATATAGGATGTGGCAGAAATACCTGCCATATATACCTACCAGAAATACCTCTTATTGTCTTATTATGTGGGAGATATTTCTGCCACAACCTGTATGATGCTGAAAATAATACTTCATAAAATTTATTATAATGAAAATACTTCTGAAAGATTTACTCCCAAGAAAACACAACCACATTGGAAGATACATTATGAAAAAAGTAAAGAAATTAAGCCAATTAAATGTTAATATTGAGAATAATTAGAAATAAAATGCTAGATGGGTCAGCCATTTTGAGATTATTTACACAAATAGGCAAATCAAATGAGCAGAACAAAGAATTCACTTTTCAAAAGGAAAGAAAGTAAAATTTTAAAACAATTCTTACTTTCTATTTTTGGTTTGCAGTCAGACATTCTTTCTTGGAACTTCTTCTTGAAATACAAAGCCTTCAACCTTTGTTCATAGTGTACAATTCTGGAATAAAAGAAAGTAAAAGTATTAATAAATACAGTAGAAAAATTTACAATCATCAAGTGCTTTTTCTCTTTTGAACAAACAATAAATAAACTACCATAGCTGTTGAAGTAACTTCAGATATTTGCCAGGATTGTAGAATTTGAAGGTTGTGTGTTGATGTATTGTAAGTGTGCACATTCATATGTAAACAGTTCAGAAAGAAGCAACAAAAAATTTGGTTTCTACTATGGACCGTTTCTTTTTTTTTTTTTTATGGTGACTGTAGGGAAACAAAGTTCTCAATGTATCTTGAATATGTCTGTTTTCTTTTTCTGGTCCAGAAGTATGTTTGAGTAAGGATAATAAGGGTTGAAATGGTCGAACTCAAGTCAGATTTGTGTGGAGTTAGAATGACCATATTATTTACTAGAGCTGCAAGGTATGTCCAAATGCTTAGGGTTAGAAAGTGGAAATGGAAAGACCAAAAATCCTTTATAGTTCTTTTATCATGGGAAAAATGTATTTTTCTTTTTTTTTTTTTTATTCTTTATTATTATTTTTATTCTTTAATTTTATTTAATTTTCCCCACAGTATCGTATGAGAATTTTTTCAAACTAAATAAATTTTGGCTTTAAATGACCTATAAAGAGTTGATATGCCGTTAAACAAATTAATCAATCAATCATAGCAACAGATTCTGGCTTTAAACGGCTATCTCAAATGAAACACTGTGACATTTAAGTAAGCAACTTTTTCTTTGCTTTGTCAGCATTTCTTTGTATACTATTCACAGTATATGATAACATATTTGGCAACATGTACAACTTAGTTTTTGGTACATTCAACTAACACTGATATAGTTATATCTGTATAGAAATGAATAGTGCCTGTAATGTGGAGTTCTCTTTTAGTGTTATTTCAGTCAACCAGCTCTCCTAATGCTAATTAAGGACTGCCAAGTAGAATATTCATTTTTGCTTAGCAATCTTGACAGCACCATACATGTGATATGATTTCTTATTTGAGAGCACAATAAGGGGAAAAACTGGCTTGTAACTTTCAAAACCTCCAAAACAAAGTAACTTTTCATTATCACTGAGCTGACCCTGATTTCTCAGCAATCGTGATGAATGGTTGTACTCTCAAAGCGATCCTTGCTTTGAGCATCTGTTGGGACAAGAGTTTATGCCAGACCTCAAGTGGAACTTATATACAAAACATCACTAAAGATGCAGGAAAAATGCTTAAGTCTCTATGATGCTTCAGAATGTAACCAACTTTACCTGTTAAGATCTATCTTTACAAGAGTTAGATCAGACCGAAAATAAAGTATTGCTGCTCAATCCTCTTTCCTCAACAGGGTTCAAAAGTGCTTATGCAGCTGATAAATTACTTCTCACCCTAGAATCCCTCTCCCACAGCTGAGACATTACAAGCCTCTTGTCATTCTATTGATATTTCCATGGAAAATGTTTTGACAGGCTATATTCCTTAGTTCCAGTTCAGACCTTCATGGCTAAGACCTACCAAGCCATGTACACAGGTTTGAATGATACCAATAAAATACAATGCAAATGAGTAAGAACTTCCACTCAAACAGCTTCTTCCCAAGGGCCACTGCTTTGTGGAACAGACTCTTAAAAGGTTGCTTCTCTGACCACCATGATCTTACCATCTTCAAGTCCAGGGTCAAATGTTATCTATTCTATACACCCTCATATTCCACAATTCTTATGTTCATGAAACAACCTCATTCAGTAACCTTCTACCTTGAGTAGCTCTTGGGCCTTGTACTGGGTGTACAATAATGTAAAAGAAATGAGCTGCTAGAATATGGGATTTAAGTCAAAATCTTGTTGAAGTTACTTTATTATGATCTCATTATTTTAGAAGGTATTTAACATGCTAAAAAGTAAAAAAAGTAGATAAGTAAAAAAGGTAAATGAAAAAAGTAAAAAGGTAATTAAAAAGTAAAATTTAAAAAAGTGTAAAAAAATTAATATTAAAACTGAAATTGTAAAAAAGTAAAAATTTTTTTCAAAAAGTAAAAAAAATTTTAAAAGTCAAAATATTTAATTTAACATTTTTAATAATTTAAAACTAAATAGATTGTTTGTTCAAGCCATTCAAGTTGGAAGAAACTGTCATTTCAATTAAAATGGAGTGAATTTTGAAGAGCAATTATTAAATTTAAGTATTGGAAAAATAAAGCAAACATTATGTACAGAAATTATTTTGGTGTCACAAACTTATATAAGTAATTTTGTTATTTAAAATAATAGAAAACATTTGTTTGAGATAATAAAAGGTTCAAAATAGTATAACTTAATAACAAATTCTCATGAACAAAATCAATAAAATGAATGTTACATACTTGCTCATTTCAAAGAGGAATCTATCTGCTCGAGCCATTTGATCAATTTCATGGCTATGTTCTGACAGGAGCTGGCTCTCCTCAGATGTTGGGACAAATTTCAGCAGCTGGTATTAATTAAAAAACAAATTTAATCAAAATATCACTTGATTACCATGAAACATACTAACTGAAATTGAAAATAAATGTCAAAATGATTGCAAAAATATTAAAAGAATATTATTTAGGAATTATACTTGACATACATTCAAAATAATTCTTGTATGTCATATCAAAATTGAATCTTGATCAAAGAGTTGAAAGTTTTATAAATTGAAACCTGCAACATTAATTCTAACTTCTAAACACAAATATATAATATTTTACATCTGCAGTAAAAAGTGGGTGTTAAATCAAGATGAACACATCAGGAATTTGTACTATATACAGGTGGATCATTAGGAAGACTTTACCTTATAAGAATTATATTGGGCAGCAAAAAAAATGTGCTACCCAAGCAAATTAGTGTATACTGATACAAAATCTATATTCAGCATTTTCTTAACATCAACATGCCATAAAAATGAAAACATATTTCGTTATTATTCATACAAGTTTTTTTTAATTATTATGGATGCACTTTTATCTTTTTAGCTTTGTAAATCATTGTTACAATGACACTTACCTAGCATCACCAGTTCAAGGGAGATAACTAGTACAGCAAAGAAATTGAAGACTTACAAATAAAAAACTACCACAAGGCAAATAATTATTGCAGTTCTTGGTTAATCAAATACTAGAACGAGAATTCTAAGTCGTTTTTTACACTTATAAAGAAATAATTTTATTTGGAGAAAAGAGAAGTAAAAAGAAGAAAAAAAGAAAGAAGAGACAAAAAAAAGACAAAAAAGACAGAGAAAGAAAGAGCAAAAAAGAAAGGGCAAAGAAAAGAAAGGAGAAAGAAAAAGAAGGGAAGAGAGGGAGAAGAAAAAAAAAGGAGAAAAGAAAAGAAAAAAGAAAGGAGGAAGAAAAAGAAAGAAAGAATGAAAAAGAAAAGAAAGAAAAAAAGAAGAAAGAAAAAAAAGAAGAAAGAAAAAAGAAGAAGGAAGAAAAAAGAAGAAGGAAGAAAAAAGAAGAAGGAAGAAAAAAGGAGAAGGAGGAAGAAAAAGAAAAAAGGAGAAGGAGGAAGAAAAGGAAGAAAAAAAAGAAGAAGGAAAAAAGAAGAAAAGGAGGGAAGAAAAAAAAGAAGGAGGAAGAAAAAAAGAAGAAGAAGGAGGAAAAAAAGGAAGAAAAGAAGAAGGAGGAAGAAGAAAAAGAAGAAAGAAAAAAAGAAAAAGAAGAAAAGGAGGAAGAAAAACAAGAAGGAGGAAGAAAAAGAAGAAAGCGGAGGAAGAAAAAAGAAGAAAGAGGAGGAAGAAAAAAGAAGAAAGAGGAGGAAGAAAAAAGAAGAAAGAGGAGGAAGAAAAAAAGAAGAAGGAGGAAGAAAAAAAGAAGGAGGAAGAAAAAAAAGAAGAAGTAGGAAGAAAAAAGAAGAAAGAGGAGGAAGAAAAAAAGAAGAAGGAGGAAGAAAAAAGAAGAAGGAGGAGGAAGAAAAAAAGAAGAAGAAGGAGGAAGAAAAAAAGAAGAAGAAGGAGGAAGAAAAAAAGAAGAAAGAGGAGGAAGAAAAAAAAGAAGGAGGAAGAAAAAAAAGAAGGAAGAAAAAAAGAAGAAGGAGGAAGAAAAAAAGAAGAAGGAGGAAGAAAAAAAGAAGGAGGAAGAAAAAAAGAAGAAGGAGGAAGAAAAAAAGAAGAAGGAGGAAGAAAAAAAGAAGAAGGAGGAAGAAAAAAAGAAGAAGGAGGAAGAAAAAGGAAAGAAGAAAAAAGAAGAGGAAGAAAAAAAGAAGAAGAAGAAAAAAAAAGAAGAAGGAGGAAGAAAAAAAAGAAGGAGGAGGAAGAAAAAAAAGAAGAAGGAGGAGGAAGAAAAAAAAGAAGAAGGAGGAGGAAGAAAAAAAAGAAGAAGGAGGAAGAAAAAAGAAGAGGAGAAAACTGAAACTAGAACATTTAATATCTCAGGTAAATAATTTAGTGCAAGGTTTATTTTTACCTGCTCCAACATGTCTTTTGGAAGATCTTCTTGCTCATCCATATTCAGGATAGCTGTAGCCAATTCATCATTGGTAAGTTTTAGTTTTGACAGTAGGATTGTACAGTTCTGTGCCCGTCTTCCATCAATTACAGACAACTCTTTTGCCTTGGGTTTGCTGTTTAAACTCTTGTCTTCTTCATCTTCTAATTGACCCCCTTTTCGTTGGTAGGCAGAAAATGTCCTTTCAAAGTCTTGGAGGTCAAGAGTTCTGTAGAGCTGTTTAGAATAGAAGTAGAAAAGAATGAAATTATTCAAGTAAAATGTGAATATTCTGTATGGAAGGAGCAACATGATAAAATAATATTCTGTAAGCAACAGTTCATCAGGTGTAAATGTTGGGCTCATATGGATTTCAATGCCATATGGTTTTCTTTGCTTAGCAAAGTTAGTGTTTATGAGCTCCTATCCTTGGACTAATTTGGAACTGGCTGAATACTTGAGGCACCTGATTCTGTAGAAATAAACTGTTCCACTGGTGACATTAATGAACAGTTTCTATCATCAGCTTGATTATTTTTGAGGAAAAAAAGTTTTATTTGAAAAAGTTAGGTATCTAATTTAAATGGTGGAAAATTAAATCCCTAAGTAAAATAAATATGAAACTTATAAATTTTATGATCATTTATTTTTTTTAACTCATTGAAACAATGAAAATATAAATATTATTTCTAGATTTTAAATAGAATTAGAAATATTTGCATTTAAAAATGTTGTTTACTTTGTGTAAATATTATTGCCATTGTTTTTTTGTCATAAAAACATGTTGATTTTAAAAATTAACCAAAATTCATCTAATAATTGAATTTTTATAAAACTTTCAGCACTATTTACAATGTTTGGAGTATTGTCCTCATCTTTAATACCATATTCACAATATTTCAGCAATTCAACTTTGGCCTTCTTCAGGTGATATACGTTGGAATTTCAAAACCTTTATTTGGTCCATGTGGGTGGAATTGTTTTAATTTCACATGCCATGCCTTTGGATATCTCAATTTTACTTAATTCCTCTTAATAACTCAACTTTCAAAATCTTTGTTCCATCTGCTGTGGCCAAGTTTTTGAACTCACAACACCTTAGGTTAATTTTTGGGTTACTCAACCATTGCTTTTATCCACTGGGCCATGTGACACATCAGGAGATGAGTCATTGATGCTGTAAAAATACATTTTAAAATGTTTTTAAATAAAATTTGATAAATTCTTTAGTGTATTTAAATCAAGTAAAGATTAAAGTAACTATTTCCTATAAAATTGTCTTGATGTTACAATTATTTTTATTTTTAATAGATTATTATTCATTTATAATTTGGAGTTTCTGTCAATCAAATAGTGGGCATTGTTATTTTTACTGACTCAAGGGAAAATTTTGACTTCATAGCTATTCAATTCAATCTTTTATTAAATTAAAAATGTTTTTTTCTTTGCAAGTCGTAAATTTTGTCTCTTATATTTGTCATAATAGTAAGAAAAATTTTAAGAACTGAATTTTTTAATTTTCAATATTTCTTTTGGCACGATATAAGATTTTCTTTGGCAATACCTAGTTCTTACAGATTACACCTAATAATGGTTGAAGAATGGATTGGCTGCATTGTTATGCCAACAACAGCAATTATGCAAACAGATTTGAACATCTGAACAATGTTGGATAAATTTAATCAAAACTGATTAGTTTTCTTCATATATATTTTTTTCTTAGAAAATATATTACGTAGTGAAACTACCTAATATATTTGCATTTTCATGGTAACTTTTTTTCTGATTTGATATTCAGGTTAAATTCTTTAATATAATTTCTTCTGCTTTAAAAACCCAGTGCATATGTCTTTTAGATTTCTAAGATGTAAATGTATCACTGCTTTTAAGATTAAAAATTTACCAAGTTTACAGATGTCGTCAATAATATTTTTCTTCTCATATGAAATGTTGGAAGGGAGATAACTAGTAAAACAAAAGTTAAACTTTCTTCAGTGCAAGGGAAATAACTGATACAGTAATAATTAAACTCATTGCCTTGGAAGGGCAATATTGGACAATTCCGAATTCAAAAAATGGGGAAAAAGCAAAAGGAAACACCTACACTACCTTTTCCCTTATTATCCTGTATTTAAATTTTCTTTATTAAATGCTAAAGAAGTTTTTAATTTTTATTTTTCCTTTTCTTATTTTTTGAAGCTCTACTCAAATAAATGATTGAATCTAAAAATTCAAAAGGTATATTTTTTTCATTTTCATTGGCCAGCAGTATATATGAGAGGGTGCTGAAAAGCTTTCAATCAGAGCCATTTCTCAATGATCTAGTGTTTGGTAATTAAAATACTGTTTTTGAGAAGTGAGTCAAGCCGAGAACTTTTCAGTACCTCCTTAATTATATTACATACATGTGTAACACTATGGACACTCACTTAGATGGAGATATGACTTTTATCTAGATCTCAAGTTTTTCTATTTTATGGCCAGCAAATGGTTCCTTTTGAAATTTTCTAAGCGGCATCCACTTTGACTGAAGAGGAAAAAAAAGTAAAGGAGTGGATGGGGGATTTTGAGGACCCAGCAACAACAAACAGGATATTGTTAATATTAGATGAGCTCCTGGAGTAACCAGTCATGTTTGGACTCAGGGAGTCAGTTCTGATCTGCCCTCAACAGAAGATAGACTTGTCTGTCATGGTTCCAATGCCATCCATTTTTATTGCCAGCCACATGTTGGGATGTGTAGATTGATAAGGAGCTGAGAGAGGGAAGAGCTGATCTATAAAATTGACATAGAAGTTGCCCCTGGTGTCACCTACTTACCCATCCAGGTTAACAGGTGAAGCCCTGAATAAAACCTCTACATAACATATGAGAAACAAGGTTCACTTTTTCATTTCTTGTAATCTTGTGAACATGCAGCAGGTCCTTTCCCAGCTTTCCAGCATGAACAAGAACTGAATGAGGAAATCATTGGTTGCTTAGTGGAAAGCTTGGGTGAGCTTCACGTTTTATGTTTGCCCATGCACTATTTCATTCTAAACCTTTGGATGATTTTTGTTTCTGCATTACATGGGGGAAAAAAAAAACTTAAATGGTTGCAGAATAAAAATCTAAGAATTGTGATGAAGAGAATGAGAAATAGTCATCCAAAATTAATACAAGCAAAACAATTTCTAATCAACAGCCATCTCTCTTCATTTAAAAAGTACAATTTTTATTAAGTTCAAACTAACTTTGTTGAATTTAAAAAATTTTTTTTTCTATTCCAAACATAAATAGTTAATAGAAACTGATTCTACATACTCCCAAGTCTTTCAGACTGAACAGCTTAATATATATTTTACATATTTTTATCATCACTTATTCTTCTGAGAAGTCTTAAATGTTTTTATTGTCAGTCACAGAGACACTGGTTTTGTCAATGTGTTAGTTACAATTTAACTGTTAAGTTATTTCTATATTCTAATTTTCAAAATGACTAAAGGCTAAATCAATTTTTTTTCTTTATAGCATTAGAGAAATTTTAACTATTTTTAAAAAAAATACTTTTTAAACTTCATTTAAATACATTATTATTGTTTTTAATTAAAAAAAAAAAACCCAAAAAACATCCCAATTCAAAAAAAAAAAACATTCCAAATATTAATTTTTAAGAACTTTAAAGACACTTGTTTGTGCAAAATCCTATTTTCTGTTTGAGTATTAATGCTTTCCATTTTGTAAAAAAACAAAATTTATATGGCTAAATATTGGTTGTAGTAAGTATTAGGTGCATGAAATTTCTATCATTTTTGTGTTAAAGAATTAAAAAATGAGTTGATATCTGATCAAATTTTATTAAAATAAACAATTCATGAAAAGTAACTCAATATTTAAATGTAACAGAAGAAATTAAAAAAAAAATTATTTTCAGTATTATTGTAAGAAAAGAGGTTTTAACATATATAATCTTCATAGAGGTTATGATGTAGTAAATTATAACAATTCATTTTGGTTATGGCTGAGAGATCTCTATTTGAAATGTTGTATGAGAATTTGAACATGGAACAAAGTTTCTCCTAGTTAAACTAAGAACCAACTTAATTTTAACTGACTATATGGAAATTTTTTTAACATCTTTGCTTACAATGGCTCACTGGTTGTTTTCTTGAAGAGATTATACACTTTACCTTGATTTGACCATGTGTTGCCAACATCTCATTTCATCATGACACTTTGATGAATATATTAAAATTATTATTTCTAGCAAATAAAAACAGTAAGAAAGCAAATTAACAAAATGAACTTCTCACCTTTGTATCATCTAAATCTGCCCAGACAGAACCGTTTAGTTTGGTCTGCAAAAGAAGTGCATTTTGATGATTAAACAATGTTAGAAGAAAACAAAACTCATCATGTTTTTAAAAAAAAGAAAAAGAAAAGAAATGATGTAATAATTGAATAGATATAATACATTGCTTTGGATTAGGAAAAGAAATGATGAAAATAATCATCTGGCACTTTTAACAAAGAACAAATGCACATTTTGGTGCCATTAATTACATAAAAGTAAATATATTAATACCAAACAAGATTATTAAGTGACCATATAACTATATATCATTACAGAAAATGGGTATGACATGGAATTAAGTAAGAAAGAAAATTATTTTAGAGCTCAGCAATGCAAAGACCATTAAATGAAATTCATATAAAACTAAGTGAAGTAATAGGAATTCTATGGTGTATTTTTACAATACCAAATAGGACACCAATAAGATTTGAATAATACCCCCCCCCAATAGTTAGTTTTACTAAATTCAAACATTTAAATAGGCTTACTTAAAAAAAATATTAATTTTTAAGGATTTTAAATCGATAATTGTGCAAGATTTTTTTTCTTACCTTACCATGCTCTTCTGTTTATGTATTAATGCTTTCCATTTTACATAAAAACAAAATTTACATGACTAAATACTGGTTGTAGTAAGTAAATGGTGTGTGAAGTTTCTATTCTTATTAAAAAATAGCTGGTTATTTAAAAAAAAAAAAAAAAAAAGAAAAAAGAAAAGAAAAAAGAAAAGAAAAAAGAAAAGAAAAAAGAAAAGAAAAAAGAAAAGAAAAAAGAAAAAATGAAGTGCGATGTGAACTTTTGCTAATGCAATCTTTTTAAATAGAAACCAAATTTTTGCACTGCAATAAAACTAAAGTATGTATGTGTATTAAAATGTGTTTAATTTGTATTATATATATATATATATATATATATATATATATATATAATAACTTCCTTACAGTTAACTTTTACTGCCTGCTTCCTTTAAATCTATGGACGTGAATTCATTCCATGTTGGGGTTGAAAAAACAGACAAACACTTGTATTATCTGCCAAAATAGCCTATTCCTCACATGAGGTTAAAATAAATTATTTTTTGATTAATCATCATATTGTTCTGTACAAATAAAATACAAGCTCTCTTTTTGTGGATCAATTTTAATATTTTTATATTACCAGGACCCACTTGGATTATACACCCATGAAATTTATTTTACCATTACTCATATATCATAAATTATTTTCAAATAGAGTATCTATAAAGGAACAAGATGAATAAAAAGACAAGAGGAAAAATACTTAGCTGATGCATTTTGTCCTCCAAGGGACTTTTTATCAAGGCAAATATACTAAAACTGTTTGTATTTTCTGACTAAGTGTCCCTTTTTGTTTTCAGTTATTACATTTACTTTGATGAAGTCCCTCAGAGGACAAAATGTGTCAGCTAAGAAGAGTTTTTTCTCTTATATATATATATATATATATATATATATATATATATATAATATAAAAAAAAGGCTTAAACACTAACATTCCATGGTCATAATTTATTCCATTGGAATTGTAAAAAAGAATTGGATCATATTTACGATTCCAATGGAATAAATTATGACCATGGAATATTAGTGTTTAAGCCTTTTTATTATATCCTTACTCTGTCCTGGACATTGAGTTCTACCTGGATTCTATCCTCTTGGAATTTTTTATTCAAAAAATATACATGTATGTGTATGCACCTATGTATATATATTTTGCATATGTATGTGTATATTTACCACTAATATATATATATATATATATATATATATATATATATATATATACATTGACAACCAGAACAGAGGTATAATCTGAGTGAAAATTGAGAATCCAGGATAAATTATTCAGATATTGCACTTACATCAGGCAGTTTGGACCAGTTGAAAGACTTCAACGGCTGGGAAGAAGTTGGAATATTCTTTCTTCTCAGCGAAGTGGAGCTGTCAGTAGAGGAGATTCCCATTGGAGCTGAAAATTTAAAATAACAAAATGTCTAATGAAAAAAAAAAAAAAAAAAAAAAAATGACACAGTAGGATATAGAGTCATTTAAATATCCATAATTTGAATTAGGTTAAAAATAACTCAGCTTGATAAAAACAGACATGTTGAAATCAACTGTCAAAAGAAAAAGGGGGTATGATTCTTCTTGAGCAGCCAACTTTTTTTTATCAATTCTCATTAGAGAGAATTGTTGATGAATTTAAAATATTAAACCATGAAACAAAATTACCAATAAAAACAAGGAAAAAAAAAGTTTAAAAGTAGACTTTTGTCTTTACAAAAAAATGCAAAAGAGAGTAAGCCAAATTACGTTATACTGGGTAATGTCCAGTCAAGTTAGGCTTTTTATCAAAAAAAATGTTAAAGTGTTGAAAGATGATTCCATTCAAGATTGAGAAGATTTTAAACTAATATTGGATAAGATAATTACTACAAATAGTACAGTAAAGTATCCCTACATGAAAATATGGAATAGGTGGATGAATCTGATCAATATATTTGTTGCCATTTCTTTTCTGTTGGGAACTGAAAAAGGTGTATCCAATGTTCTGAATTACTGTAGCCTGTGTTACTAATTATTCACTATCTTTTTATTGTAGTTTGTGATACAAGACAACAATTAAAAAGTTTCAATTCAAGGAATCTACAGTAGAGTTACGTTTTTTTTTTTTTTAAGTCAAATCTTTCATTCTGTTGAAAGACTATATGGCTAAGAATCATTACTAATACATAGAGAGCAAATATTTATAAAATATAGAATCACATGCATTATATGTGTTGCTGTGAGTGGGTTGGTCTAATCAGTATATTTGTCATTTCTTTGTTAGTCTTTTTATATATTGGTCAATGCAGTTTATATTTTGGAGGAATTTTGCAATAACATTTCTTCTAACTCCAACTATGGATTTAATAGGAGGGGAAACTTGGCTCTCTAGCCATGGCTGGCAACCAGTGAAGGAGAAGGACAACTGATTCCAAAATTGTATGTAACACTGACATAGCACATACTATGCAACCATCAACAAGATCATAGAGTTCACAATGACTATAATCTCAACAGCAGTAAACTTATGACTATATCAATGTATTATTAGTAGTAATATCTGCCATATTCCTCATTTAGATGACCATTCCAGTTTAAGAATTTTTTTTAAAGTAAAATTCATTTCCATTTCCAAGTCTGCAAAATGAATATAGAGCAATACTTTGTCCAAAAAAAAAAAAAAAAAAAAAAATGAACTTTTTTTTTTTTTTGAGGTTGGAATTATAAAGTTGTTTGAAATATGAAAATAGTGATAAATGTTATTCAACAAAATTAATGTTGAAAAAAGTTTAATTTTATTCAAATCAAACAAATATTTTTGTTTACCTAATTATCATTATCAATCATAGTGACAAAAAAACTTGAAAGCTCTCCCAGAACAATTATTGCTTTCACATCCCAACTTTTAGAAATTGTCTTCAATCACTATCTTATTAAGAGACAGTGTAAGAGCAAAGACAAAGAAACTTCACAAAAGGCATCTTGTCAAACAGTTCCTAATGTTTTGAAATGCAGAGTAATAAACGTTTTTTCTTTTCTTATTTTTTTTTACTATAAAATAATGGAGAGTAACAAATATTTGCACTATAAAATTTTATGTACTACTAAATATCAGGTTGCTCTACAAGTGTTACTGGTACCATATAGCCCAATACTACCTGCCACATGGTTGAGTCATCAGTGATAAACTGCTTTCCCTGCCAAGCTTTTCTGGCGAGGCGGGTGACTAATTATCCAGAAGAAATAAAAACTAGACCTGCAAGAAGGTGGATGAACCTTTTTGTCAGGGTCAACAGCCATCTAAGCACAATGGGGTAGACTAGGCTACTATAGCTATATATGAAGCCAGTGCCGTGCTGACACTGCATCATTGGGCAGAGAGCTTCCGAGACTGAAATCAACAGCCTGGGTGGAGGGGCTACTTTGATGGAACCATGTATCAGTGGCCAAAACAAGTCTTCAAGTTGGAGGACATTGTCAGGAGTATTTGCCCAACACACACTATGCGTGAATAAATACTTCTCTGGATTCCAACCCAGTTTTTGGGAAAGAATTGAGTGTTCAGCTGCACTATGACTCTACAACCACACCTGGTCAAAGAGGTGATGATGAGGTGCTATTAAAATGGACAGTAACAAACATTAGTACTATGAAAAAATTATACTTAAGTTGCACAGGAAACTGAAATGTAAAAAAAAAAACATTCCATGCATAATAATATTAACAAATATAATACATTATTTTCAGGGACACTGTATATCTTCTCTTCTATGTGCTGTCTCCCTTCTGGATGTTGGCAATCATGGCTCTCCACAATTTCCTGTCCTATGTAGTTCTCAATAAATTTTGTCTTTTTGTTATCTTTCCTAAACCTTGTTTTGCCATACATTTACTCAAGCTTGCTAGGTAGATTATATGTTCCTTTTGTCTTCGTATACATACATTATAAATACACCACTTTCAGGGACAAATAGAAATAAATGATAATATTTACCCATGGGAGGGGGTGGAGGAGGTCCACCCCCAAATGATGGTGGTGGTGGTGGAGGAGGAGGTGGTGGTGGTGGTCTAGCTTTATTAGAGTCCAGGATTTCCCTAGACAAACTTGGAGGCAATGGTGGTGCTGCAGGAATGACACGATCGGTGATGAGATTGCTACTTGACTTGAATCCAAGCGATGCTGATGAGAAATCCATTTTAGCATCGTCCGGTAAGCTCCCCGTTGAGACAAGGTATTGTAGCTTCTTCTTCTCGGCACATTCATTCTCCAACTGCAAAGACAACAGACAAGAGGGTAATAATAAAAAAATTAAAAAAAAAAAAAAAAAAAAAAAAAAATCAATATTTAAGGATTTCTTTTTTTTTTTTTCATTCTATAGTTTTTTTTAAATACTAAAATTCATCCAATAGATGGCTTAAAAGCCACTCAAGGTAGAGGGTTACAGTTAAAATGATAATGCTAAATAAGGTATGATATGAATGGAAGAGAAGGTGGTTGAAACTGAAGATTATGAGGATAGATAACAACTGATACATTTTTTTTAATGATGTTCACCCAATACAAAGCCAAAGAGCCACTCAAGGTAGAGGATTACTGTTTGGAGTTGTATTAGTATAAGAAAGGACAAGCATTAGGAGTATAGACTTGAAGTAGATTTTAGAAGGAACCAGAAACACAATCCTAAACAGAAAACAAGGGATAAAACTCTACTCCTGTTCAAAAGACTGGGGAGGAGTGTGAACTGGACGATAGGCAAACCTGACTTGAAGAGGGTAAAATTGTAGTGTTCAGGGAAGTACTTACATGGGAGACTGGTCCATAAAGTGGCAGTTCTTGGGGATAAAGCTGTTTGTGTAGATCTTTTTCTTACATTTAGAATATGAAGGAAATGAAGGTAATTTGAGTTTATTTACAATATTTACATGTGGACTGTTGTCCTCATCTTTGTTGTTATTACAATGTTTCAGCTGTTGTTACCTCTGGACTTCATCAAGTGTATGTTAATCCAGGCAGCCTACAGGAAATTTCAAAATGAACCCTTTATTTAATGTACAGAGGTAGACTGTTCTTGTTCCACTGACCATGTCTAGGGTATTTTGTCTAGTTCTTATTTTTAGTACTGCACAGTTATTGCTTACCCTGTTTCCAATGAGTTCAAGTACACGCACTGCCCAGCCCGGGGATTGAACTCACAATTATTATGTCATCAAATTCATAAACCAATGCTTTAATTCACTAGGCTATTAATAAATCTATAGACTAATGATTAAAAAAAAATCTATACAACAAAATTATTTTTAACACAATCTACTTCAAACACTTCCCCATTAATCACAGATCCAACATTATACAGTGAAAATTTCAGATCAAAATTCAGCTAATAACCGAGTTATGCTACAAACATTGATCCACTCTTATAAATGAAAATTTGGATAAAATGTTTTCCTTGGTAACTAATGATGAAAGAGTCATGTTTTATGAATTTATATTTATTTCTATATAGAGAATTGCATTTAGGAAAAAAATAAATACACTTCAAGGTGAATTATTTTTTACATAATCCTCTACCTTTGGATTCATTTCAAAATGATGAAATAGTGCATTCAAGTCATTCTCACCTGAACCTGTAGCTCACGAATCAGAGCTGTCATGTCCACCAATTTTTGTTTAGTTTCTTGGTGATTAGATGTCTCCTTTTCAAGTTTGGTCTTCATCTTGTTTACTGTTGATATTAAATCCTCCTGTGCACAAAAAGAAAAAAAAAATATTTAATCAATGGAATCAAGGTTTATATATATATATACATATATATATATATATAAAATTTTGAACAATAAAATATATTAAAAATTTAAAACTTCAGACACACTGGGTTGTATATTAATATTCTTTCATTTTTATTATTTCAGTTAGATTCCTCGACTAGTTTCAGCCAACATGGCCATCATCATCAGAAAAAAAATTCTGCTTGCTGGTAGCAGTGAACTACAAAAATGAATGGCTTGATGGAGAAAATGAATGTTTGTCTGTAGTTTTCATTTGTTTTATTTTTTTAACATGAATTTTGGTCAGTCCTTGTGTTGGTTAAACAGTCTCTTAAGTTGTTATTTAAGATAAGAGCTGGATGGATTCATGCTGCATAGACACACGCACACACACACACATATATATATATATATATATATATATATATATATGTCTGTCTCTGTGTGTGTGTCTATGCAGAGTTTTCAAAAACAAGAATAAAATGATTTCCATCAAAAATCATATAATAAATATCCACCAAGACAATATATCATTGAAGAGCTTGCAAGTTACACATTACTATTATAGGGAATTCAATTCTTTACTGGGTGCTTCACAAACTGGTTTTGTGTTGTAGTTTGTTGAGCAGGCTGATCTTTTTAGTTTAATGATAGGACTATCAAAAGAAAAAAAATAAAGCTTTAAATGTTGTTGCAAATGGTGGTTGAAGAGAGAAAAGTGGTTAAATAAGGAACCAATTTTATCTGACTACATTTTACTTCAAAGAACAGCAATAGGAACTGAGTAAAATTTACTCCACTATCTTCCTGTAACCTGCTTGTTATATTGTTAGCAATTTTTAAAAGTGCAAAATTTCTTTTAAATTTTAAGGTTGTATTTTTTTTAAATTTGAGATTTATAATTGTATATGTAAATAAATTATATGACTTTATTATGTTCTTGGTTCTCATTCAACCACATGTAACAATAACATTTTCTTCTAAGTGTAACATTAGGATTGCTGGAGTCAAAATACTCTATCTAGCTAAACCACTATCAATTTCTCATTAGCACAGAAGACATGTCACACTAGGTTTTCAGCATTCCTTACTAATAAAAGCCTGCTTAAATTTGTGTGTGTTTCATGGGACAGCTGAAATACTGATGCCCAAGAATGACAAAACCTGATATTGCCCCAATGGCAAAAATATATTCATGTCATTCATACACTGTTAACATGACAGGCAAACACAGTCTAGATGAATCTATATAGACCAGGGTTGCTCAACCTACTTTTACTTAAGGAAAGTGAACATAGAATAGGCTGTGTTAGGGGTAGTTATATCCAACTCCCTCCTAAAAACTTGAGTCATGTTCTAAAATAGTCTTGTCAGATCGAGATTGTATTGTACCAGACTTGTTCAGAAATATCTAAACTAGCAGTTGTATATAATCACTTTCTCAGATCAATGTTTAAAAACAGTTGAGCAAATGGAGCCAGTAGGTCTTAGTGAGGACCATCCTTCTTTGATTCTCGTGGACTGGCACTATAGAAACACAGAACTACCAAATAACAGAAACCACATCACTTAACTTTCAACAACAGTAACAACTAAAATCTAACTCGGAGAAAGTAATGATATAATCAAGATGTTCATGCTCCACAATACTTCAAACCAAAAGTTAGGAAAGAAACTACTTTGTACTGGAAAAAGTAATGACAGTTACAGAACTTGATAAACCTATTTTCCTGAAAAATTGTTTCAATAGAAAGATTTTATTAATTTAATCTGAAAGTAGCACTGGCTCATTAGTTAATGAATGCTGAATGTTTCCTTATAAGGAAAAGGCTAATATTAACATTAACATTTCTTTCATCTTAATTCTAATTGTTATTCAGACCATAATAAGACAACTTGAAGTGGAGTAATGGTTAGTGAGCTAGTATGTTTAACCACCATTGCTGAACAGTGAATTTGGTCCTCACTGGGTGTCCTATACTTTTGACCTTGTGCCAAAACAACCTTTCACTGCCATTAGTAAACAGCACAACTCAAAAATAAAGAATAGACTTCTCACATGCTTAAATTACTGACAACCATAAAACATTGTTTTGAGTTATAACAATGAAAAACAATTTGTTTTCTTGAAATCATTTCACCCCCAAGCAATGGGTTACTTGGAGTGAAAGAAGATGAGAAGACTTTAGTGAAAGGACAATTAAAGAACAGGATTCAGGAAGACAGAAATTGGTGATTGATGTTGCATTTACATTTTTGAAGAACATTGGTAGCAAGAAACCAGAAGAGAGTTCCACAGGCAAGAAGTGCAAGAAAAGAAACTATTAGAATAGAAATTATGGTTACATCCAGCTATTTCAACAGTAAGGCAATGCGACCTAGTTGCCAATCTAGTAGCATGCTTAAATTCTGAGATTAATAATGTGTGACACCCTCTGGTGGTCACAGCACCAATATGTGACGTCCTCTGTTCGCGACGCCAATATGTGACACTGTGCTGTCAGCTCGTGGTCAACTGCCAGTTATGGCGCGAAGCTGAAATGTTTCTTCCACCAGCATTTTGGGACTGATTCCTTGTCACTGCCACCAGCCTGTGTCCCGGTCGATCTGGTCGTTCCCGATTCAACACCAGCTTGTTGTTCTCAGCTCACTTCCAACATCTGGTTACCGAAGTAACTACTTTGTTCTCAAGTCTATCCTACCCACATTGTGACTTTGATCTTAGGTAGACAAAATCAATCAGGCGTTGGGCCATAGTGCAAGCTGAATCCGGGGTGAAGGTGATATCACACAAGCGTAAGTAAAAGAAACAATAAAACAAACTCAAGAGGTTCAAATATGTTGAGAAATAACAAATTATCTTTATCCATCTGTTATATACAGGAGTGTGTTTCTCTCCCAGCCCATTTCTATGGATTTGTGACACTTTTGCATTTCTTAAGTGAGTTTTGGTATCTTAAGCCGTTCATCAATCTAACTTGCTTTTGGTAGGAAGGCAAAGTCGAAAGGATGTGGAATCTCTCAGTCAGCTTCTGTGAGGCAACACACTGTCTGGAAGTGAACTCCAACTGAAACTGTCTGGAGACATTCGTTTATATGGATACCAACCAAAACCCAGTGTGGGGCCCGACATTGTTTGGGTTCCTTGATAATTCTCTATCCCCAACAAGAATTCTCTTTGTTCTTAGGCCAGGAAAATTAATTTTTCCCATTTTTGGAAGATTAATCACTTTCCATTTTGGGCGTTTCTCCCTTGTCTGTGAGGGAAGGTTGGAGGAGAGTTATCCTCCTAGACTCTTCCTCTCTCACATTGGTATCTCATACCAATCCCTTCAGTGGGTGTTAACAACTTCTCAGTCTTTCTCATACATTCACCTCCGCCTATCACCCATGCTACCACTTGACTCTTGGCAGTGTGGGTGTGGCTAGACTGGCCCTCTTAAAATTATTATCCAGAATTTTGTTTACAAAATCCTTTTTTTTCTTTTTTCCATCGGCCAAAACATTTTTTTTCACAAACTCCAGATTACCAAATAATTCTTATCACATCTTTCTTTTGGGGACACCCAAAATTCACTTAGTCAGGACTCTCTACCGACTCATCAATCACTGTCAAAACCAGACATCTGGCTTCTCTGCTAAGTCAACTTTTAACTGGGAGGTTCGTATTTTACCTGAGAATCAAATTCTTTATTTTTCTCATGCCTTAAAATCCTCTTATCACCAGATACCCATTTTTGACGACGCTGTGTCAACAGTTTGAAAAAGCAACAATAATATTTCCTCCACAATTTTCTTCCTCATGCCAAAATTCTAACACATACCAGATGATTTCCCTTTGTTGGAGCCAGGAATCAAAATGAAATGATATCTCTGAAAGATAACTAATATTGATTCTCTCTGCCTGTATCACAGTCGTCTCAAGCCGAATTTCACTTGGCGCAATATTCCCTTACCACGACATTAATCAGTTTTGACAGAATCTCATATCTCGCTTTTTCTTACGGATTTTCTGTCTCATGCGAAAAGTATCTCTTTTTTTTAATGTTGCTCAGTCTATCATTCGATTTAGCTCTTTCTTGCCTTAAGTCTTTCCTATTTTTAATTTCTATGGTTAATTAGTTAGCCAATTACCATAGCTAAATAGTGTCACAAATGGTTGATAATGCGGCAACTACTACTACTAATAAAAAATACAAGGAATTATAACTAATACTATGGGAATAAAAAAAGCAGGAGAAATTAAGACGAAAGGAATACTAGTCAAAAATTAATAATGGTTGATGAAGCTTCATTAAATAAAGATAAAATTCCAAATATTTTTTTTTTTTTTACCAATTCGGTAACTGAAGAATTTATAGCTGAAATGAAGGATTTCTGCATACATACAAAATGTGTGCTATAAAAAAAAACAAGTTTTCACAAACCTTTTCTTGTGATTTTACTTCACACTCTCTTTCCTTCTTAACAAGCTTAGAATTCAGCTCATCATTTGATTTTTCAATTTCTCGCATTTTCTGTTGAAATGATTTTATATCATTTTCACAGGCTATCCTGGGGATGAAAATAAATTTATTAAAATTATCAAGTTTGATAAAATAATATTATTTACAAAACTACATTGAAGTACAGTGTGAAGATAAAAAAACAAAACTGCATGCACACAATATATATATATATATATATATATATATATATATATATATATATATATTTTTTCTCTCCCATCATATTTGATATATGAGGGTCAAGCAGCTCAGTTCCTAGGAACTGACAGCCAGACACCAGTACATATTTGATTATAGTGGTGAAGGCTTTGTGCAGAACCAACCACACTATATATATCTATATATAAGAATTAATGGTTTTATTATTAATCTAACATTTTTATTACTTCAAATATTATTTTTAGTGCATATTAATGTTTGAAAGAGAACCCCACATTTTTATTTTTTAAACATTGTATTACATCTATTAGCCTGTGAACTCAAGAAATCTTAATAAAGAATATATGCTTTCTGCATCCCTTCTTTGTAGAAGAAACCACTGTTTGATCCAGCGTGCTTTAGATCACTTGATTACATCAAGTGTCACAGAAGACCAGTAATGTTCTATTTTCCCCTTTTAAGGAAAGCATACTTCCATGTTCAGATTTTTCCATATCTGCTCAGTTTGGTATCTGAAACAAAGCAATTTCTAAAGGATTAATGGAATTTTAATCTGATAAATTTTTTATGGCCTTGCTGGGCTGTGGACGCTCTCTGTCGCTGAGTGGTATAAGCCATGCCAGATCAAACAGTAGTTTCTCTTTCAAAAGAGGATGCAGGTTCGATTCCTGTTGGAGACTATATTTTCTTTAAGATTTCTCAAGTATACAGGCCGACAGATGTAATGCACGTTGTTTGAAAATAAAAACAGAGCGTCTATTTCAAACATGGATATCCGCTAAAAATAATGTTTGAAGTTGTGTGTGTGTGTATATATATATATATATATATATATATATATATATATATTATATATATACATACAATATTCCTTCAGTATATGAGTGATTATGGCTCTCCAGTTTCCTGTCTTTTGTTGCCTTCAGCCTTTTCCTTTATGATTTCTATTTGTGAGCCTTGTTTCTCTATCCATTTGCTCAAACCCCTCAAGTAGGCTACCTGCTGCTTTCCTCTTGCCTTCAATGTGCCTTGTTATTGTTCAATTCTCCAGGCCTTCTTTCTTTATTACATGTCCCCAAAATTTCAGCTTTCTCTTTCTGATTGTTAGCAACAAACTTTGTAATTCTTATCCTTAAAGCTTCCTTCTCACATAATCTATCCATATACCAGTATAGTTCACGTTTATTATAGTTCTACACAAATCTAAGAAACAAAATATTACTCATAAAATTAATTCAATAGGATATCAATTTAAAGCTGCATCGAGGCAAATTACTTTTTCTTAAAGAATAATTCCCTGAATTTTCTTGGCATGAAAAAAATGCCTTACAGGCAAAAGATTAATTACTTACTGTCTGATGATATGAGTAAAGTTGATATCCACTGGTGCCATGTCTGGGTCTTTACCATTTTTCTCTTGGAGAACCATCTGCTGAATTATGCGGTCAACAATCAACCATTGACTGGCACTTTTGCTCGAATTATTATCTGTGGAACAAAACAATTTTGACAAAATTAACCAAATACAAGAAAACTGATTTTTAAAAACAAAAAAAAAAAAACGAAACAAATCATTTCTTTCAGAATGTAAAAGCTAATATTCATTGCTTTGGAATATACAAAATCTCATCATACAATGCCTTGTGAAATCTTGCTGTTTGTAAATTTTTTGATTTAATTTAAATTTTTATTTTATTTTATTTTTTGTTTTTTAAATCTTTTGGTTTTGTTTCTGATGTTTTCACTACTTTTTCCTTCTTTGTCGTTTATTTTCCTTTCTCTATTGCTATTATTAAACATTTTACTTCAGCACCTCCCCAACTTGTTTAAATTAGAATTTGCTTAGTGGACATCAGAACTAAGTCATAATTTAATATGAATTCTGATGTATTTTATATGGATAGGCTCACCTATTGCCCAATTCACATTCCTTCCATGTCTATTGAACAGGAGTAGAAGTTTTTCTCTTGTTCAGGCAATGAATTACTTCCAAAAGGTCATTAGAAGCCTGAACTCTTTGGCAGTGATTAGACTGCTCTGATCAACAGTCGTATAATATTGGGGTATTTGCACTGTCAGGTCACATATGGGTAGGTTCCCCAGTATATATTTCTGGTGGGCAACCCTGAGGCCACATTATGCTCTCTTCTCAGCCATGCTCTGGCTAGTTTGTATTGCTATTGATGACAGTGACAATTATGGTGGTCTTTTCTCTCTCTCTCTATAAATATATACGAATGTATATGCTTATTAAGCTCCATAAATTTCAAGATTAGTTATTCCAAAATTCGCTTGAGAATGAAACAGAGCTGGGTACTTTAATTCAATTTAATTTCTATAATTGAACTGAAGTTTTTAGCTTCTGTTTTTGAAACATGAGAACTCTTATGTACCGATGGAATTTTTAGAAAAATAATTATATATATATATATATATATATATATATATATTTATACTCATATCAACTACTCTGTATCTTAGGCAGCAAATATTCTTTAATGCAAATATTATTAAGAATAACAAACATTTTGTGTCTACAAAACTAACCAATTGTCTCTACCGACCCTGATGATGACTTCAGAAAGTCAAAAGCTTGCATTATACTTGCACTTTTTTTCTGAAATGAACTTTGGATAATTTCCAATGGAATTTCTTCCTTGCCCGAGAAAGATTATTTGTAATTTGGAAAAGTTAACTATTAAAATTAATCAACACAAAATGTTTTGTTTTAGGCAGTAAGAATTCATCCAAACAAGAAAATTCAAAACGTCTCATCCTTAGCAGTAAGAAAAAAATTCCACCAAATGGAAAAAAATGTTCTTTGCATGATTGTACCTTCACTGATAATCAATAAACATTAAATTCTTACATTGGTCACACAGGCACCACACACTCTCGTAGGTTGACTTGTCATTTGTTGAAACAGTGTGATTTGTACACATATCAATCAGTACATTACAAACAACCAAAATACTATTACAATAAGACAAATTTTAATAACCCACATTAAATAAAATATCTTTCTCTGCAGGAGAAGGTATACTGCAGTGCATATAATATAATAATAAAAATGTATAGATATTCAATACATACTTTTCCATCCATTTAATCATTACAGATGACATCGTTTTGAATTGATTCCAATTTCAATTCCAGCAATTTTGCTGTCTTTAGAAAAGAATCTTGGCAGGACTTTTACCTACTCTTGAATTCTTGTTAGACAGCACACAAGGTAGGTTGGAACACATCAGTCACCTTTGAATTTCAATGCTGTTGAATTTTTTTTTTTTTTTTTGTGTATATGCAATGTGAAGCCTTTGTTTTTTTTTTTCAGTATTTCATAGTGCTTGTAGAGACAGAAATAAATTCACTTTTCAAGCAGGAGTTAATTCTTTGTGGTGCCTTTACCAGAAGAAAAATCTTGGGAGCAATAACAGTGAAATACTTGTGTGCCATTTAACTAGAATTCAAATTATGTACAAATCCTTTCAAGCTTCTTTTCTGAAGTGAGACAGTAGAGTTGGTATAAGTCCTGCTAAGCCTCTTTTCTAAGCAAGTGTACAGCAACTCTGGTTTTGTTTTCCCCTCCAAAATATGGCATTTATCATGTGACCAGAGTGGTTTGAACTATAATATCCCTATCAATATTTAAACTCTTTGCACCAGCCCCAAGACAGCTACAGCCTGCTTGAATTTATAATCATCTCATGAGATACCTGAAGTACGGAAGAGCAAAAAATGAAAAATATTCTGAAACTATCCACATTGTTAAAAAAAAAAAAAAATCATATCATAGGCAATACAAATATTTTCTATTATCTGCTTTCCTATAGAATCCTTCCAAAGAATTAAGTTTTCAGATTTAATTTGATTATTATTCATTAGTTACAAATTTATTACATAATTTTATGTTTCTTATTCATTGTTTTTTTTACTCTCATCATAATTCAGTCAATTCATCTTTACAATATTTCTGAAGCAAAACACTTACATGGTATAAGCAACATATGCTGAAGTATTGACATCAAATGAGGGTAGGCAATAGACAAGGACAGTTTCTTCCTCAGCAGTTCAAACATTGAAGTCACACTCCGTGTATCTATATGGACCTAAAAAGAAATTTAATATTTATGGTTTTAAAGTATTCAACATAGACAACATTTAACAAAGAAATTTCTCTATAAAGTATTAATCAAAATATCATGCTTTTACAACACTAAATAGAATAATTCTTATTTACATCATTTAAAGTCAGGCTAATGGCCTCATTTTTGTTATTCTCACAATGTTTCAGCCATTATGCTCTCCAGCCTTCTTCAGGTGTTTGTTGATCCAAGTAACCTTTGGAGAATTTTTCGACCGATTCAAAATTCTCTAAATGTTACCCAGATAGAGTACCTGAAGAAAGCTAGAAGACAAAACGGTCAAAACGTGATAATAACAACAAAGATGAGGACAATAATCAACATGTAAATAATGCAGATAATGACAACTCATTGTAGTATTGTATGCAAATTAGACAGACCAGTATAAATAGAGAACAATTGGTGAACATAGGGGGTTATGCTTAGCAAACCTGGTTGCTATTCAGGACACAGAGGACTGTACTATGACTACTACTACTACTACACAGAGAGATATGCAAAGCATAACAATCATCATACCAGAAATTCAAACAGAAAATTCTTTGTCACTGACATTTTTTTTCCAGGGGTTGTAGAATTATGCATATGAAGCAGAAACAAAAAGCAATCACTGAATCTCTAAGTTTTTTTTTTTTTTTTTTTTTTTACTTTTTTACTAAAAAGGTGGATGTATTGCAGCCAACATCCACAGATGTCAAAAGGTTCAAAAGGTATCACAAATGTATTGATCCAGATTGGGAATCATTTTGAATTGTACCATGTAGAAAATGAATTACTCTACACTTGCATGTAGTTTCATATGTCTCATATTGTTAATAAATGTGTTATGACCTGATGGGAATTATTTTAAGGACAACTTTTGTAAGTATTCTTCTTGACAGACTTAGAAAATCTATTTTGATTAATATTTGATGAATTTTTCAGATGTGAGTCCTAATCTTGGTTGCTATTGTCACAAACCTTTGACCATTATAAATTAGAACAAGCATCCCATTAAATGAATCAATGAATCTTAAATGGGTTTTATGGCATTGGTTAAACATTACATAATTTAATTGCTATTATTGTAACCTTCTTAATTTAAAGATTGTCATTTGACATGGCATCAGTGAGAGTGTGTGCCACCTGAAGCAGTCCTTCAGTTTGATACTCCTCAGCCCCAACAAAAAGAAACTATACACTTGAGGAAATAAATTCTTTTTTTAAAAAAGAAATTGTTATGCACTTCCCTCACCCACAAATATTTTGACATTATCAATTTCTGGCAATTATTTTTCAGAACTAAGAAAATTTGCTCAAAATCATATTTGCCATTTCAGAATGACATGTGAACAAGCATATTCAGTTAAGAAAATGACTGAAAACCAAACAAGACTGACTGACTAATCATAATTTTTAAAGAATTCTCTGCTGCTCTCAGTAACTAATTTAACTCTAAATATTAAAACATTTATGAACTAACACCTTCTAAAATCTCATTAAGAGAAGTAATGCTCATCTTTTATAATAAATCAATTATATAAAAATATATTTATTTAAATTTTTTTTTTTACAAGAATGATTAAGAGTACAAGATTTGCATAGCCTATTTGAACTCCTGCATAGAAAAATTAATGTATGGAATTTTAAAGGTTGGCCACACCTTCATTAGCCATTGCTCTTACCACCAAACTAGTAGATACATATTGAGGCACAACATGTTTATCTCCCTTGAACTTTTTGTTGCACAACAGCCAATCCAATACAAACCTATAGTCCAAAATACTTTTAAAAAACCCTGACAGATTATTAAACAAATAAAGGCTTGTGTGACAGGAAAAATAAAGGAGATGTGTGCATGTGTATTATTGAATGCATTTACTATCAAGAGATTGTAAAAGGTGAGTTAAAGAAAGAATAATCTGTCTACAACAGAATGGAAATCCTAGGAATATTGTTACTTGTTTCATGAGTAAGAGACCATTCCTCATTTAAATTAGAAAATTTAAAGCTTTGAATCATGTGGAATCTGAGAACAAACAAAATTCATAAAAAATATAAATTCTAGAAGTTCCAAACTGTAAATTGCTCTAAGATTTGAAAAGTAAAGTATCTTGTAAAATAATCAAAATTTTCAACATTAGACATAAAAACCCAATTATGAAATATAAAAATCATTATTCTACACAGTGAGTAAGGTTATATTTTTCAGCAAATTATGACAGTTGTTATAAATATCAAGTAAAAAGAGGCTAATAACAAAACATTGTCAGGAGATTAAATCTAGTAAAGGCTTATTTTTAGTAGAGTTTTACTTTAAAACTATCTTATTGAATCCATTAATCTCATTATTGATTTCACAGTTACTTTTCAAAGCAGTACTGGGAAAACAAAGAAAATACCTGTATTTTGCAAATCTATCTCCCATTCTTTGATTATGTACAAATGGTATTCTATTGTTCAGAATCAACTGTAATTTACATTGCAATTATTTAAGAGATATTTAAGAAATGTTTACACAAGAAATTTATATCTTCACAGAAAGGAAAGATATATCGAAATTAAAAGTGCAAATACTCACAGCTTCAAATCTTTTTGCCAAAGTTCTTTCATCTTCATTTCGTACCATTTCAAAAAAGTCCAAATGTCTAAAGGAAAATAAGTTAAAAAAAAAAAATTAAAAACAAAGCAAAATGTTCTTTATCCATATATTGCATATATTTTGGCAGCATGTTTTCATTGAGACATGTTTTATTGAATAATTTAGACAAGTTTTGTCTACTTATTTTTAATGGGATCCTTTCATATTCATGGACAAGTTTTTTGTGTCATTATTAAAGGAAGAGAGAAAATTACTGTGTTGATACATGTTATTTATTCCAAGTACTTTTGACATTAGCACAATGTTATCATCAGAGTGTTATATATATTTTCTAAAGAACTGATGGATTTTATTTTTTAATCCAACATATTTTTATTACTTCAAACATTATTTTTAGTGGATACCTGTATTTGAGTATATATTCTATTTTTGTAAACAGTGTTTAAGGTAAATAAAACTTTGACTGTGAAGTTCTCTAAAGCCAAGAAGTCCAAGCACATCAGATCAGTTGGTGGTTTCTCCTGCAAAGGTGGAAACAGATTTGAATCCTGCTGGAGGGCACATTTTCTTTAAGTTTTCTTGAGTGTGCAGGCCAGTAAACAAAATAAACACTGTTAAAAAACAGAACATCTACTCAAATATGAGTAACCCCTAAAAATAATGAAGTAATATACTGTATTTGATGGCTCACTTTTTTTTTTTTTTTTTTTTTTTACACTAAAAATATCTTTTAAAAATTCCCTTGAGTCTTATATGCCATATGTAGGTTTAAAATTTGCGATGGTTGACCAAAATTAGCTACCTGGAAACTCGTATTAGCTTAGACTTTAGAGTAACTTTCATATACCAATTTTCATTATTTAAAAAGTTATTATGCAGTTTAAAAGTTATCATTGATAGTATTCATTATATTAATTTCATCATGTTTAATATTAGTACTTTGTTTCACTAAAATTATATGCAATAAATTCAAATTATATATTTGTAAAATATATTTGTTTCATCAACATTTTTCTTGTGATAACTTCCAGTTGCATTGGTATAAATACAATCAGAACTTTACTAATAATTTACTAATTACTAATTTTTTCTTGATTTGCCCTGCTGAAATTGTGGTGCGTCTTACATGCCGTCAAATATGGTGTGTGTTAAATACATACATATATATATATATATATATATATATATAAAAATGGTAATTGGTAGAAATAATGACTAATCAAAATTTTTAAAGAATGCTCTCAGTAACTAATTTAACTCAAAATATTAAAACATTAATAAACTAACACCTTCAAAAGGTGTCATTAAGAGAAGTAATGCTCAGCTTTTTTATCATTAATCCAAAGAGAGCTCAATGTAAATAACAGAGCAATACAATAATAAGTAAAGACAATCCTTAAAATTCCATTTCACTTATAATTTATTTCATGAATATGCAGGAATAACTAATTTTTAGAGTTTTTCTATTGAAAATTTTTTGTGGAGGGTTATTATGATTAAGATGTTTGTCCATTAAATTTAGAAAATATCTGCCAATATTTATATTAGACAGTTTGCAGAAAGGTGGGCTAAACCATATTGTCTGCAATATTCATAATTTATTCATGAAACAAATTATAACTGAAATGGATTTTTAAGGATTGTCTGTCTGTGTATATATATATATATATATCTCAATGTAAAATTTCCACATGTATCAGAGCCATTACTTTGCATATGTAAAACAGAAAATTTGATGTATACCAAAAACTAGAAAAGAATTTTACTTTGGAATTTCAATTAGAGATCCATTTATATTTTAGCATTTTAAAAGAACTTTTCAAAATGTTATTTGAAATATGTCCATTGCATATTATATGAACAATTTAGTTTTAAATTCAAATGATTAAAAAATATAATACATGGAGTCAAAATTATTTCCTGAAACATAAAATATAGAAATTAAGTCTTCAAAATATAAATTGAATAAGGAAAATAGTATCATTTATCAATATTTACCTGTCAAGAACTGCATTTTCATGAGAACGCAGTTTATCAATAATTGGCTGAATTCCTAGCATAAGGAACTCATAACGAAGATGGAGTCTAAATTCTAACTGGGTCTGTAAAAAGATAAAATAAATTAAAAACAGTCTTATAGACATTACAAATTTTTCAATTAACAGAAGTATATTTTTAAAAATAAATAATGTGTTATATGACATGTAACTGATATGTAACTGCTTTATTGAATAAATAAAATCTTGGGGACATCAAGTACTATAAGCAACCTTCCAGAATCAGAGATACATTTTGACTTTAGACCACCCACAAAGAGTTGAGAAGCCATAAGAAAACAAAATCAATCAATTTCTAATTGAATAAAATGATTCTCAAATCATCTATGTTTTTTTTTTATAGAATCTCAGTTCAAACAAGGTAAGACACATATAATACTTGGTGAGGAAGAATTAGAAACAGAAACATTATGAAAGAGTGGGAACAAAGTAAGAGTAATCAGAAGGACAGCAGATAGCATTTAAATTTTTTAAAAATTGATTGGGAAGAATGGAACCAGAAGGTAGGTCCACAAGTGAGAAGTGTGAGAAAAGAAACTGTTAGGATAGCACTTATGTCTATATCTACCCAATTCAATTATGAATTGATGAGACCTTACTGCCAATCTAGTACTGCATTTAAATTCTTAATGTCTGGGTACAATAGCAAAGAGCTCATCCAAACAATTATCATGAAAGTTTTTATAGAAAAGGAACAGGGAGGCAACTTTAGGGTAGAGGGAAAGTGACTGTTGCTGAGATGCCAGATCAGGACAAATGATATTGCTGATTCTTCTTTGGATTTTATCAAAGATTTCTAGATATACAGCAGGATTTCCGGACCATATGTGGCAGCAATATTCAACTCATGGATGAATAGTAGACTTATATATGCATGCTAGATTCCGGAGAGAAAAACTGTCTAGCACAACACAGGGAACCAACTTTCTCAGCAGATGACCTAGCAATGGATTCAATATAGTCTTTCTACTTCATGTCAAAATAAATATTTTTTGTAAGATAATCTACATTATTTTAAAAAATAAAATTTCAGTAATAACTTGACTGCTTAACCCACTATACCAGTTTATCAGGGTACTGATGTAATGGTTAGCAAGCTTGTCTTGCTAGATCAATTACAACTGAGTACCAAGTTCAATCCTCACTGGGTGCCCCATACTTTTGGTCTTGTGCCACATCTAAGCTATGCTTAGAAAATGACCATTGTACCAGTTTACTAATTCAATGCTTTATCATTTATCAGTACTAGCAAGAGTAAGAGTACGTACCTTAATTTTAGATTCTGTAAAATGGCAAAAAATATATTACAGAATAGTGCTGCTCAGTGTCTTTAAGAAAAGATTAAATATAATGGCCACAACCTTTCTTTACATATTTCTGTAATCGCCATATTTATTACGTTTCGGCCATTGTACTGTTCTAGTTCCACATGCAATGTTTTAATGGATGTTAGTTATCTCCTGTTAATTCCCCTCTCTAAGTTCTCCACTGCCTTAACTGGGTATTGACAAGAGTTCGAATAATGTAAATAGTGTACATAATACCTCATCTCAGAAATATAGACAGATACTGATATTTCTGTAAATAATCCAAAATGTGTTTTTTTTGCACAAATATGAATCAAATTCTATCAGATGTATATATTACTATTATCTTTGTGCAAAATGATAATTTTCCTAGATAGGATGGGCATAACAATAAGAATTGCATAGCCTAATGCTGTTCATATGAGCAACTTTATACTTGTCATTTTCTGCTCATCACATATGGTTTGTTTTTTATGCAACCATGCATTGAATATTGTTGCCATATTTGGTCTGGCAAAATGTAAAGAAGGGTCTGCAGTTCTATTGGTCCTGACCCGGCATCTCATCACAGCAGTTGGAAAGTGACACAGTTACTTTTTAACCACCATAATGTGACTTTGCTCCTCCTTTTGCAATAAATATTTTCATGACAATTGTTCCAATGAGCTCTTCTTCCGAGTAACTCAATAGATGCAAGGTGTCTATCATAAATAGCCCTGACATCATTACATTCTTATATGACAGAGCAAGGCTCTTTGCAGTGAACTTTGCCTCTATGTTAAACAATAAGGGCCACCCCTTACCTGACTTTGCCCCTCCTCATGAAGCAAAAACTTTTAAATATTTCTATCACAGCATGGTAAGTTTCCAGACTTATCCAAAGCCTTGACTCTAAGAAGGCCACCAGTCCAAACAAAATCTCAGTGATTGTTCTTAAGAATATCAGTCCACAGGTATTTCCAATGCTAACAATGCTGTTCAACCAGTGCCTGAAGGAGAGATGTTTCCCAAGTCCACGGAAGGTGTCAACTGTGTCCTATTTTTAAGAATCCCAATATTGTCCCATTAGCCTCCTTAGTGTCATCAGCAAACACTTTGAATCTATAATAAGAGGGTTGTTGAATACCTCAACAGGAACAACCTCCTGAGTGATAACCAGTATGGATTTTGCATACGAGATCCATTGTTGACGTCTTAACTGAATCAGGTAAGCACTAGAAATAAATTATTCACAAGGACTATTGCCATGGATATATTTAAAGGCCTTTGACAAGGTATGACATCGAGGGACTGTTATATAAACTATGGAATCTCTGGAAAGGCTTTCTCAATTATCAAGTCCTTCCATACAGGTATATCCCTGAAGTTCATTAATGGTCAGTCAACAGAAGCCCATAAGATCAATGCCAGCATTCCACAGGGTTATCCTCTTTCTACTATATATTAATGATTTGCCTAAAAGCATACTCCAATCATTAGTGAGTATCAATGCAGATAATACAACAGTTTATAAGTACACCATTCAAAATCAGGCAGATTAGAACCTAGCAGTTCATTTCTCCTCTGATCTAGACCACATGGCTAAATGGGGAAAGGACTGGCTTGTAAAATTTAATATGGCCAAAACCAAACATTCTGCCACCACCAAAAACAAATTCAATTTTTGCTTTTTCTTTTGCTCATACAACACCACCCCACAGTAACCCTCTACCTTGAGTAGTACTTGGACATGTATTGGGTGAACATTAGTATAAAAAAATTGTACTGCATGAGTTAAAAGTATACTACTAGATCAGTAACTAGGTCCCATCATTTTACTGTTTTATTTTAATAGTTTCTTTTCTTGTACTTCTGTAGAACTCTTCCAATTTCTTGCTTCCCTGTCATCTACAATCTTCAAAAATTTAAATGTAGCATCAACCGCCATCAGTCTTGAATTCTGTTCTTTTATTGTCCTTTCTCTTCACTAAAGTTTTCTCATTCTTTTTCACTTTCAGTAAACCTCTGCATCTTAGTGGCATATCACCTTGCTTTGAGTGAAATGATTAAAAAAAAAGTTCTGAAATAGTGAAATTTACTTAAAATTTCCAGCGATAGTGTATCAACAATTGGTCAGGTTTCATAGCGTCATGGTTTAAATGACACACTTGCAAAAAAATGCATATAAATTATGACCAATGTTAATAACTAGTAGTTCCTGTGAAAATTTCATGGTTTTCCTATTTGCATTTTCTGACGTATCATAATATTTAATAAGCTCTGCTACAATAAAACACCAGTGGAAATCTCCCCCATTGCATCATTAAATATTTGAGCTTAACAACTTCAACCAAATATTGCAATAACAATCATAAATATGAATGCTGGTCATTATCTCTATCTATAAAAGGCAGGATGTGTGTGTGTGTGTGTGTGTGTAATGAATGCACGGCTGCAATTTTCAACGGATTTGTGCCAAAATTTACATGCACATGCTCCAAGTTAGCGGAAAGGCCAACACCGACTTTGCATTTCCCAACTCCCATCGATAGTGGAAATAATTGATTTTTCATGCTTCTACAGCACTTTTCATGTAGTTTGCAGCCATTTTGTACTGGCCAGAGTGAGAGCCTATAGCTGGCTGCCATGAATAGTCAGGAAGATTCTATTGGCCAGCGTGAGAGCCAACAGCTGACTCACACAAATGTTAACTAGCATGCAAAAAAATTGATAGCTGCATTTGTCACAAGTGGGAAAAATTTAAATCTGCATGGCACTTTACTCCAATTGGCTCATTCGCTTGCTTAAACTCAACGTTGATTTCGATCCCGCAGAACTGGGTTGGGTGTGAAAAAGTATTTGTTGTTAACATTCTTTTTTCATTCGGTTTTTCCAGTTATGAGTCCTTTTTTAAAGCTGATCGTTTTGTGTTCATTTTGTTTAGTTCTTTTTTCATAACGGATTTAATGTTTAGTACAGAGCTTAGAAAAAATTTGCAGTGTGAGATAGGCAAGAAGTAAGGCATGTAGTAACATCAGAATGGCAAAGGACACTCCTTTAAAGGCAAGGAAGGGCAAAAATATTTTAAGTCAAGTGATAGTGATTGCTGTATGAGTCATACAATTTTTGAATCAAGCACGGGCAACGCCGGGTCATGCTGCTAGTTTAAAGTAAGAGGGTAAAAATGAAAAGATTTAAAATTGACAAGTTTTTTTTGTTTCCCTGAAGCAGATGTTAAACACATGAAAGCTTGGTTTGTTTTTTTTTATTTTTTTTTTTATTTTTTTTTCTCAGTGAAACCAAATAGTGCCTCTAATATGTCTTTTCTAATTTTCCTCATGATCAAAGTGGAATAGTCCATTATTTATGAGGTATTGGCAGGGCATAACATATATGCTAAGGAACAAGTACAATTATAAGATAGCAAGAGAGTAACATGCTGATAATTTATTTTCATAAATAGAAAAAATAAAATATCAGTATCTTAAATTCTCCTGAAATTTAAACACATTTAAAACTATCATCCTCATTTTTATTGTCTGTGTCATGTTTCAGTTGGTCTTTTGTTTTCCCCTCATATCTTGTCAACCGTTCCAAATGGGTTGTTTTATTTCACTCATCAGGGACGTTATTTGAAACTAATAGTGACCAGAGGTTTTATGAAAATGCAGTGAAAACTAAATATTTTGAATTTTTATTATCATTAGGTGAAGCATCATTAATCATTATTAATTATTAATACAGTTAAACATCTCATACAATTGTTGACTTTAGTGGATCAAATGTTAAAGCAGCTGTGATAGATTGATAGGCTTTCCAAGGTAAAAGGATTATGATTCAGTCCCACCTGGATCCTAATTTTTTTTTTTATTTCTTATCTGTATAGTTTTTTAATAGTGGTAGGATGACAAAGTAATTGCTACGATAAGCAACTGAAATTATAATGATGGAAAACAAAGATATATTACAAGTCAGGTACCATAAAATAAAAAAAGTAAGGCATATAAATCAGATGTTAAGATTTAATGCTTCCTGATTCTATATTTTATTTATCTGATCCTCTCATAAAATGAAGTTTTTTGTTTTGTTTACATATATTACCCTACTGTAAAGTTTTTTTATTTTTTTATTTTGTGTTTAAATGCACAATTTCATTTTTTTTCTTCTAGTTGCTTGTACTTTTTTTCTGGAACAACACCTGTAGACTTTTTATGCATATAATATTTATATAAAATTTTAAAAGCTAATGTCTCAGAAAACAAAAATAAAAATTTCTGATTTAATTTTGAAAATTAATGATTTTAGAAAAATGCAGTTCTGCTCAATAGCATTGTCATAGATTGAGGCCAAGAAGACAAATTTTGTCTTGTTTAGTTCTCAGTTCAAGCAAAAATGATACAGCTCAGCTCAATAGCATTATCATAAATTGAGGCCAAGAAGACAAATTTAGTCTTCTGTTTTGTTCTCCAGATGTATTATACTGCAAAATTTTGGGAAGTGGAACAGTCAGTATAAATTGAATGCAGTCCAGACTTTTGGCACTACTCTTTGTGAGAAGCGTGATAGATCATAAGACAACTTTAAATGAGATGGTGGAAACTAAATGTGAGAATAAGTAATACTCAAATCCCTATAACTTTTGGGTGGTATACACCCCAACACACTTGTAATTAATAATAATAATAATACAACTAAAAGAAATACATGAAAATCACAAAAATTTAACACATTTTTAGGCCAGCAAAACATCTGCCAAAAAGCAGTTAATAGATAACAATAAATGTTCAAGGGACTTAACTCCAGGGTTTTGTGTTAAAATGATAAAAGTACTTAGTTTCAAAATTAGACAAATATTTAATGTGCGTTTGAGAGAATAAAGAATTTTTTATAATCTAAAATGAGTGGCAAACTTTAAAATTACCTGTCCTGCTCCATAGTTCAATATTGCATTTATAAATGACATGATAGCAGTTTTCAAGCCAACTTCCTCTTTATAGATACCAGTACTTCTGTCCAGATCATTGATGATGGTCTAAAAGAAAAAAGATTCAGATATTCAGTTACAAAATATGTCAAAGTCAATAAGAAACAATGATTAACTTAAGATCATCTAAAATTAAACTATCAAGCAATCAAAACTGAACTGGACCAATTCAATATGACAAGATGAGATCAAATCTCATTAAATGAAAATAAATTTCAGTTAACCAGTTCCTGATTCAAGAGAATCAGTTATTTGTTAGGGGCAGCCACATTCTTTCCCCTAAAAAGGGAATGATAACTCAAAAAACAATTGAGTTACTTCCCTTGTCTGTCAAGAAACAGGCACCATTTCTGAATTGAACATGATGAACAGCTGACATGCATGGGAAATTCATTGTTTTAATCCATACAATTCTTGCTGTTCTCAGATAGTAAATGAATAAAAGTTGTTTATTTATATGTTAAAATGCACTTGTCTTATTTTCATTTGTTTTTGTTCATCCCAACAGTGGGATATAACATTATTATTTAATGTTATGTCCCCTTCAGCACAAAAGTGAACATGGCTCTCTGCTAATACCATATATAAAATGGCTGACTACTTGTTTCTGAGTACACCTTGTTGCTAGGGCAACTAGCAAATCCCTATTACAGATGCCCACCCAACCCAGAGTCCATTGTGGTTTATACTGCAACTATGCTGAGTGGACCTTAGTTACAGTTTCTGGAAGAGAACACAAAATCTAGTGTGATCAATTTTTGGAACAATGCCAATGAACTCAAATCCTTTGTCATGATGACTTGTGACTTTGTGCTAGCACAGCCATTGATGGCTTCCAAACAGTTCTGTCTACTCAATTTCACTCACAAGGCTTGAGTTAACCCATGGTATGGTTTTCAAGCACTTTCCAAAGATGCCGTGTGCTGGCATAGCCTCCCCAGTCCAATTTAATCAAGAAGTCACCTTCCCGAAAAATCGGCTATAGTGAGGTTTGAATCCATGTCTCATGGCCAGAAAGCAAACATTCTAGTCACTGGGTGACGTGTGTGTGTGTATATATATATATATATATATATATATATATATAATTAAATTGCTGATACCTGCTGAAAAGTGGACATACAGGTCTGCCTTTCGAAGTCAGGATGCTGAAGGTAATATCAATCAGCTTAGTGACAAACTTTTACTTATATTAATTCTATATATATCACACTGTATGGTTATGATTGTTCTTGGAGAAAATAATGGAGTGGTTTTTTATTGCCTTCTCTTGAATTGCTTAGGTCTTTTCCTAAGGGCATAAGGACAAAATTTAATGGCTTTGCCTGGAATTTGAACTCTGTCTGCCAATAACACAACATTTATTAGATA